AACTCGTGGTCTCAGATTTTGGGACTGTGAACTGATGTGGAAATGTGGGCTTACAGTCATGCTGAGGGATCCCAGGAAGTGAGACCAGTCAGTATGGCCTTGTTTTGCCCCGGACACATTCAGCTGTTGGGTGCAAGTGTGGATCAAGCTGAGTTGGATTTTACCAGGGATGTACTGTGTTGGAAGGACAGGGGCCAAGAAGACAGGGCATGGGCCGAGAGGTGATTATTGTGTTGAACCTGGAGATCTACGCTGGGTGATGAGGGGAGTGAAAAATTGAGGGGATCAAACATCAAAGAAGAGTGAGAGAGTCAGTGGATGAAAGGTCCAGGTAGGGATGAAGAATTTGGGGGATGGGGGTTCTGGATGGAGGAGGGGGTGACATGAAAAGACTGAAGAGATTTTGAAGGGTGGCAGTTATTGGTGTTAACCAAGTTGAAAGATTTGCAACAGGGAGTGAGCGGTTGGGGAGAGGGGACAAACCTCATTGCAGGTACTGAATTTTCATGAAGGGGAGTGGTGACCCAGAATTTTATCCTGGGGGAATCAGAGCTCCAAAGTAGGTTTTAGAGGAGGCCAGAGCCTCTGCTGGAGAACGGAATCTTTGTGGATAGGGGTGCAAGAGCCAAAGGCACCATGTTCAGAGGCGGGAGGTAAGGTGGGAGGAGACTGAAAGTGGAATATGGCTCCTGAGGGAGGAGTCTGAGTGAGATGAAGAGATCTGGGAAAAATCATTTTTGGTCCCTTTTTTCTCAGCTGAATTCCATTTAATTCAATTGAATTCAAAGAGGTCTTATCCGATAAGGGTCTGAAAAGCAGAGATGAGCCAGATTTGTCTCCTACCTTCACAAGGTAAGGTGAGTACATCAAGGTCTCTGGTGGGCAGAGACAAAAAAAAAATGCAGATAACATGAATAATGGGTAGGTTTTAGACCCAGATACCTTCCTCTAAGAAAGTTACTCTGGGGGCTGTCCAAGTGGCTCAATTGGTTAAGAGCATGAGCTTTGAGCAACAGGGTCGCTGGTTTGATTCCCACATGGGACAGTGAGCTGCCACCGCTTCCCCTCAACTAGATTGAAAGTGGTGACTGGACTTAGAGCTGAGCTTGCGCCCTCCACAACTAAGACTGAAGGAAAACAACTTGACTTGGAGCTGATGGGTCCTGGAAAATCACAATGTTCCCCTTCCCCAATTCCCCAATAAAAATCTTTAAAAAAAAGAAAAAGAAAGTTACTCTGGTTGATGCCACACCTTTTGGCTTCTCCCCTCCTCCCTGGTTGAAGCTACACCTTGTGGCTCTCCCCTACTCCTTGGTGGCCCCTGAAGTGCCTCTAAACCTGTGATTTGCAGTTTTGGCTGCCCATGGGAATCATCTGGGGATGTCTTAAAAAATATTGATGTCTGAGTACCACCCCCAGAGATTCTGATTTAATTGGTCTAGATGCAACTGGGGCTTTGGGATTTTTAAATGCTCCCCAGATGACTCCGATATGTAGCCAGGGCTAAGAATCATTGCTCCAAGGAATGCCTGGGGCTCTGTTTAGAGACCCACTGCTCTAGTCCAACCTGTAGGAGAGAGAGATTCCTTCTTGCTGGAGTGAGGGGATGAACTGATCTGAGCCTTGAATGAAGGTCAGTTTTGGCCAAGCGGAGAAGCAGATGTGAAGTGGGGAAGAGCATCCTGAGCACAGGCTTAGATCGGGTCTAAAACACATGATGAGAAGCAAATGATTTGGTTTATAATAGGCAGAGATTGAAGAAAGAGGTCTAAGATTTGAGAAGAGCCAGGCAAAGACCTAAAGATGGAAATGATGAGTAATTTAGTTTGGTTGGAGATCAGGTTGAAGAGAGAAAGCTGGATGATTTCAAACTATGCGAGGGGTTGAAGGGCAGATTCAAATTTTGTAAACAATTGAGTAAGCCATAGGGAATCTTGAAGGCCCCTTTGAGCACTGTCAGGGGAGGACCAGGGAGGATAACCTGACAGCAGTGTCGAGGCAGACTTGGAGTAGAGAGAGTAGGAAGTAGGGAAACCTGTTAGGGAAACTGCTGCAATAATTCTAGATGAAGTCATTTTTCCAGCAAGGACTGGGGAAATGTTAGATTCAAAAGATACTGTGATGAGGCCGGCCGAATGGGGCATTGCTTAGGAGTTGGCTTTGGACGCCAGCCTTGAGCAGCAGGGCTCTGGGTTCAGATACCACATGAGGGTCAGTGATGCTGCACCCTCTACAGCTAAGATGGTGAACAACAGCTTGACCTGGAGCTGGGCTGCCTTGAGTTGCCAGTGACTGCGTAGGCTGCAGTGGGCTGCTGTGAGCTACCATGAGTGGCTGGCAGCCACCGTGAGTGGCCGTCCAATGGCCGGCAACTGACTGCCTCAGCTGGGAAGAATGCAGTGATCACAATACCAACATGGGCCAGTGAAGCAACGTCCTCCACAACTAGACTGAAGAACAAAAGGTCAACAACTATTCTGTTTCCCTTCCCCAATTCCCCAATAAAATCTTAAAAAAAAAATACTGTGATGGTAGAATTGACTGTGCTTGACAGCACACCAAAAGTAAACACAGGAGGGAGATGGAGGAGGCATCAAGTTTTCAGATAAGGGTGCTCTGGGAAAATGGTGCCATTCACAGAGACAGGGAAGCAGGGTTTTGGCAGCATTTCATCAGTTTGATTTGAAACCTGCTGAGTTTAGAGGACCAGCAGCATGGCCCATGTGGATATGTTCGACAGGCCCTGGAACAATGTCTATATGGATAATATCTTAGCTCAGGCTGCTGTAACACAATGCCATAAACTGGGGGCTTATAAACAATAGAAATGTATTTCTCACAGTTCTGGGGGCTGGGAAGTCCAAGATCAAGACACTAGCAGATTTTGGTGTCTGGTGAGGGCCACTTCTGGTGCATAGGTGGCTGTCATCTAGCTATGTCCTCCTATGGGGGGAAGGGCCAAGGGAGTTCTCTGGGGTCTCTTTTATAAGGGCACTAATCCCTTTCATGACAGTCCACCCTCATGACCTAAGCACCGCCCAAAGGCTCACCATCACACTGGGGATCAGGCTTCAACATATGAATTTCAGGGGAACACAAACTTTCAGTCTATAGCTGAGAAGCATTAGAAATGATGTTTCAGTTTGGAGTGGATGAGATTTTCAAGGGAAAGTCTCAAAGAAAGGAAAAGTCCAGAGACAGGCACTTAGGGGAAAGGAGGAGAAAAAACAAGGGGGGAGGGAGATGATTAGAAGCGTGTGTGTGGAGATAGAGGGTGAAGGGATAACATGTCCCTGAACTCTGGTGGAGTGAGGAATCCAGGGTCAGGGAGGCAGAGTACAGTGAGAATGCCATTTATTTTGGCTCCTGGTAATTTCTGGTCATTGGGTACTATTTGAGAGAGCAGCTTCAGCAAAGCAGGGAGTGAAAGCATTGTTCAAAGGGTTAAGAAAGAGTGGGTATGAAAGAAAGACAGACCCAAACACACCTGTGGCAATACTCCCTAGCTAAGGGGGGAAATGAGTAGGTTGTGAGGAAGTAGACGTTGCAAATGTGAATTCTGTTCTCAAGAAGTTTGGTGAGGAAGGCCCATTCAACTCGAAATGTCCAAAGGAGAACCCATGATTTCCAGACCCCATCCCACCCTCCTCCCAAGTCTCCTATCATGGTGCATCGTTTTCCTTCTAGATCAGCAGTTCTCAACCTTTCACAGGGGTCGCCTAAGACCATCGGAAAACACGTATTTTCGATGGTCTTAGGAACCGAGACACCGCTGTATCCATCTCCAGGCCCACATGCAGATACGCCCACATATGAGTACCCGGTGGGGACCCCTTTGAAAGGGTCGCGACCCACAGGTTGAGAACTGCTGTTCTAGATTATTAACTCCATAAGGTCAATGTTCACATCTGCTGTCTCAGCAGATGTCTCACCAGCATCCTGCATGGTGTCTGCATGTTGTATGACTACATGGGTTCAGGATTGGTCCCTGTCCTGTAGGTGTACAACTGAAGATACCAGATTCACTATTTGTGCCCCTCCCCCCACAAGAGGCCTCCTGGCTGACCTCAGGATAGGAAAGGGCAACTAGCCCTAGCTGAACTTGAGAGTCTATTTACTCCCTCCTTGGGGCTGTGGTCTGAATGCTTGTGTCCCCCCCCCCCAATTCATATGTTAACATCCTAATGAGCATTGATGGTATCAGAAGGTGGAGCCTGTGGGAGCAGCTTAAGTCATGAGGGTGGAACCCTCATGAATGGGATTTGTGCTTTTATGAAACAGACCCCACCGAGCTCCCTAGCCTCTTCTGTCACATGAGGATGCTATGAGAAGAGTTGCAGCAATCAGAAGAAGGCCCTCACCTGATGGTGCTGGCACCTTGATTTCAGACTTCCAGCCTCCAGAACTGTGAGAAATAAATTTCTGTTGTTTGTAAGCCACAGAAATAAATTTCTGTTGGCATTTTTGTTATAGCAGCTGGAGTAGAATGAGACAGGCTCCTACAGCTCCCTGCTCCCTTTGCCTTCCCTCTACTGGTACAACACACCACTTGGAGCTCTAATTCAAGTTGTCTGCCACCCTCCGGCCCACAGGCAGGAACAGCTGGGAGTAGCTAGCATTTCCCCTGCCACCCTGTTTCTGACTAACTTCTTCAGAATGCTCTGCCCTCTTCTTTCCTCCTGACTTCCTGGAGTTGTAGAGCTAGATCTCTGGGTCTCTTTGTACATCTTCCCTCGCCAAAGCCCTAAGCCTAAGTCCAGGGAGTGGAAAAGGTGTGCTGAGGAAAGAAATCCCCACTGAGAATGGACCCCGAAGCCTTCCCAGGTTGGATCCCAGGGAACCCTCCCCCATATTTGTGTCTGTCTCTCTGGTGTCTTGGAAATCTTTTTCCTCCCAATTTTGTCTCTGTCAGTTTTCTCCCCTCACCACCACACCCCAGAGGAAATCAGGGGAGTTGGAAGGGGGAACCGAAAGAGCAGGGTCTCTGCAAGGCTGCAGTCTTCCGAATTGTGGGTAATAAATCCACTTAGACTCTTTAATATAGTCTTTCAGAAATTCACACACACACACACACACACACACACACACACACACTGCACACGCACACACACAGATCAGAACAAAGTGGGGAATGTCCAGGAGAGCGGGGAGCGGGCGGCTTCCTCCCAACATTGGGAGGTCAGAACCCTGGGTTCCCTACTGCCTGGCTGCCCAGGGATTGGGAGAGGTGGAAAGAAGTATTTACAGAGAACGGGGTCGTAACCTTCATCCCAGGGTAGAGGGTCCTAAACTGGGAACCTCCCAAATCTCATTCCAAAAAACAAAAAATAGAGGTTCTGGGATTAGCAAGAAAATCAGGGGACACCGGGGAGTAGGAGATGCGAAACTACAAGCAAAAACTGGAGTGAGCTTGGGGGCGTGGTTACCCTGGGGCTCGGTCCTCGAGCGGGGGGAAGGGGAGGAGTCTGTTGGTCTGGGAGCGCAGCCTAGCGCCACAAACCCAATCACCGGATTGAATCACCCCGCGAGGAAGAAAAGAAGGCGGAGCCTGCCGACCTGGAGGCGGGGTTTGTCAAAGCCTGGGCGGAGCCTATAGAGGAGGCGGGGTTTGGGGGACCAGTCTCCACGCTGCCAAGCAGAGACCCACGGATCTCCGCTGGGGGCGCTGCATTTAGAAGGGATGGGGGTCTGGAGAGACTGGGGGCCCGGCATTTGGCTGGGATCCAGGGAAGCGGCGTCCTTTGGGGTGTGGGGTTTGGCGGGGTTCCTGAGGAACTGGATTCGGAGCGTGCTCGCAAGGCGAGAGGTTCCGTGGAAGCCGAGTTTAGGATGTATCGAAGTCCGATAGCTCCAGGGGCGGGTGTGCAGGGCGCCCATTGAATCTGCGGCGTGACTGCAGAACGCTCTTGGGAGGTCGAGGGGCGCAGGGTGGGGATGGGCCGGGGGCGTCCTTACGGATCCCAGTAGTTCTCGTGGTGCTGCGCAGCAATGATGATGACTACCGTGAGGATGGTACAAAGCACCATGGCTGCGATGCCCACCGCCAGGGAGATGAAGGAAAAGTTCCGGGCCTCGCGTGAAGCAATCTCGGCCGACACTATGTCTCCGCGGGCCAAGGCGGTGCGCACCTGCAGGGGAGGGGTGGGGAAAAGCGTATCAGAGAGCTGCATGCCTCAGCCTCCCTCTAAAATGCTCTCCAGAACGTCCAGCACTCCCAGGGAATAAGAAAACTCGAGTGAGCCTCATTCCCAACCCTCCCGTCCGCACCTGCACTGCCTTGAAGATGGCGATGATGCCTGTAGGCCAGAAGCAGCAGATGGTGGTCAGCACCGCGATCGGCATGTAGTCGTGCGGCGGGCGCCTCGGCTCCAGCAGGGCTAGCCCTGGGCCCTGGGGCGGCGCGGGGAGCGTGGAGGTTACTCCCGTTCCCCCCGGGGTCCCGCCAGCATAGGTCTGTGGAAGGAAAGTCGGGGGAGGAGGGAAGAGGAAGTTACCCCGACCCTCTGAGCCCCACAATGTCCCAAGCAGAGAGCGGTTTTTAAAGCATGGTTGCTTCTCAGAGAGCCTGATCATCCACTGCCCTTCCAGAACACCCATAAATTCCACCTGGGTCCCTCTCCTCCCCTCGTTGCTGTCATTAACCTTATATTCTCAGGTGTCTCCACGCTCCCTCCCTTAAGGTATGGCCCCACCGGCGCCCAGTGAGTCCTGGCCTCGCTTCAGGCCTTGTTTCTTATCTACCTGTCCTCCTTCCCCCACTCACTCGGTCCCAGGTTTCTTCTCCCTCATCTGCTCTGTTCCCCCTCCCAGGCCATGATCTCGGACCCCAAGTGACTGCCAGAACCCCGTCCCCATTCCTAGGCCTTTCCCTAGTTCCTCCTTTCTCTAGGTCTTAACCCTACCCCCACCTCCACCAACACAGCCCGGTCCCCTGGCCCTGTTTCTCTATCCCACCAGCCCCCAGATGTCCCCAATTTCAGGGGACTGCTCCACTGTGCCCTCCCCTTCCTCTTAGGCCCGTGTCCTCCCGGTACTCACCGTGCTCACCGGGTAGACCGGCACGTAGGCAGTGCAAGGCTGCAGCTGCAAGGGGTAGCCAGGGGCCACGTAGCCCCCCAGAGGCAGCGTGCCTACCGCCCCGGTGTGCGTAGGCACCACGAAGCCCGGGGCCTGGGCAGTGTGAGAGGGCGCCGGCGGGGGCGGAGCGGCGGCAGCAGGCGGCGGCGGGGGCAGTGGGCCCTCGAAGCGAGTCTCCTGCAGGTAAGGGTCGGGTGGCATGCGGGGCAAGGTAGCACAGCCGGGTGGGGGCGCCCCGGAGGCCGGGCCGGGAGGGGCGTGGTGTGGGGGCCGCGGCAGAGTGGCAGAGAACGAGGGACCGCGCTGAGCAGTGGCCCCGGTGGAAGCCAGGCCGCCAGCCCCTAAACGCGGGAGGGTGGCTGTGCCAGACTGGTGGTAGTGGTGGTGGTGGTGATGGTGCGAGGAGGGGACTGCCTGTGGGGGCGGGGCAGGGGGTTCGGCTGGCGGCTGGGGAGCATTGTAGGGTGGTGGAGAAGTGTGAGGGACTGAGTCCGGAAGGCCTGGGGGCGATGAGCAGAGAAGAGGGTACAGGGAGAGATAAGAGATGAGATACGGAAGGGTATGGGAGAAATAGAGGGTCAGGGGTGGAGAAAGATAATGGGAGAAACAGAGAGGAGATGGGTGAGAAGCCATCTCTCATTCTTGGGGCAGCAGAGAGGTTGTATCTAGGCCATCTGTGCCCCTATTTCTGTCTTTCAATCTAGTTTTGAGGTCACAACTCTGCTCGTCTCCCTTCTTCAGCAAGGTGCACACAGCTCTTACCAGCAGACCCAATCTCCTGTCCTCCTTGGCGTCTGAGCTAGTCCTGCGTGTGCACATGGGTAGACATGCAGCACTGTGTTAGCATGCGCTCATTTCAACAGTTGTATAAACATATGTAGGGTGACATGTTCCACTTTGCAATGCCTTCAGTGGGGGAGGGGTTGCCCTAGACTCTCTGGGAATCTCAGTACTTCTTTTAGGGCTGGTAAAGAAGGGCCTGCTGGATTTTACTCCCCTGACAACCCCCATCTGATCATGTCTTCATATTTCCCCCCTAGATATCTCCATGCCAGCCAGTGTCACCTGTCCATCTGTCACTTCCAATGATGCTACCCTGCAGTACCTGCTAAGCCACTCTTGCACTTCCCTCACTACCTCAACCTCCCCCCAACCCACCTCCCACCCCACCACCACCCGCTGCCCATGTTGTTGGCAGGAGGCAGAGGCTGAAACTGGAAGGAGGAAAGGAAGAGAAGGGAGGGATATGGTAAGAGGAGGGGGGCTTGGGGGGGGGTGCTGAGAACTGGATAGAAGGGAACAACCTGCTAGGGACGGGTGAGGGAGGGGGTTGGAACCCAGGGTTGGGGGAAGAGTCAGGAGACCGTAGAGAGGGTGGGAGGTTTTGTTGTGGTTTTTTACCTGACTTTTCCGATGACATGCCTGTGGTCTTGCTGGGACAGGGTCCTTAAGCTGGAGTTGGGGTCCCCGGCAGGCGCCGGAGTCTGGGTGCACAGATTGCGCAGCCAGCAGCAGCGCAGGAGATGAAGAGAAGACAGCGGCGGGGGGCGGAGGGCGAGCAGGGAGGGGGGACAGCTTAAAGGGACAGAGGCGAGGGAGGGGAAGCACTTCAGACGTCCCCCCCACTCGTCTCTCCTCCTCTCACCCCAGCATTCAAGCCCCCAGTTTGGGCTCCCTTGGAGTTGTCATGGAAACAGGGAGGCAAGAAAGACCAGGCAAGGGAGGTGGGACTAAGGAAGGGAAGGAGGGAGAGAGAACTCTCTAGAGTCTTCCCCTCCAAGGCTGGCTGTAGTGATTAGATTGTGGGAGGAACGGAGCAGGTGCTCAGTGGATTCAATACCCCAGTTCCCTACAGAGCTGGTTCACCCCAGTCAGGTCTTCCTTCCTCAGTTTTCCTCAGAGTCCCTGCCAGGTCCCAGAATCCCCCAAATCCTTGGCCCTAGTTTCCCCACTTTAGGAGAGCTAACTGTGTATGAGAGAGAACTGTGTGCAGAGTTGAGACCTGCAATGGCCTGAAATGTTCCCAGAGTTATGGCCTCGACCTGCCACCCTGGCCTGGGGTGAATGGGGAGGTAAAGTGGGAAGCTTGGATCTGTAATAATTCAGAGTAAGCCGGCCCTGGGTGGGGGACGGGAAGGGAAAGAACAGGCAGGAAGCTTAAGGGAAGCACAGATACTTCCTTCTTCCAGGGTGAAGGAACTAAAGCGCTTTGGGAGAGGGAAGGGGTGAATTAACTGCTCATTTTTGGCTGCTCAGTTTGGGAAGATGTGCTCAATTCCCTTTCCCCCTTTGCTTATCAGGTTTCTTAGGGCTTCTAAGAGTTCCTGAGCCTGTCTGTGTTCAGACCTATTCCTTAAATCTCACCCATCCACTCTCCCTCCCTCCCCCCATGCCGTGACATAGTGCCACCTCCTGAGACGACCTGGGGGCACATCGGTATTTCCAGTCTTTTTATTTGCTTGTTGTACCTTGGGGGCGCATAGATGGGAAAGGGAGGTGAAGATGGGCAGTCTACCCAGACTTACAGGAGTTGGGCTTTTTGCAAAAATGCAGCCGGGTAATCATTATTATCTGCCACCTTTAGACCAGTACTTCCCAGTTCACACCCTGATGCAGTCACTCTCCCCAGGGCTGTGTTTTACCCTTCTGTGTCTAAGCAGAGACTACAGGGCTGTACAGAGACCCTGACCTAGGCCAATACTATAGGCTGCAGAGATTTAGGTAGCGGCCCAGGATAGTCACTCTGGGTTCTATGTTTGTGTGAGCCCCTAACCTTCCACCCCCCCCCATCCTCATTCTACACAACTCGGGGCTCAAATTGGTTTTACTGGAAGAGACTTCAGACTGGCAAAGACCCTATGAACAAAGAGAGGGGTTCAGATAAGCCAGGAAATGCTTTTCTCAAGGGAAATATCTTTAAATGTTAAGTAAAAGACTTAACTGGGGCACCTGGGTGTCCAATAAACTCAAAAAAAGTCTGGAGGCTTTGAGAGAAATAAATGACCAAGATTTATTTAAGGTTCTTAGGGTTTACAAACTGGTAACACAATTCAGGCATTATCCAGATTGTTCTGAAGAAGAAAGAAAAGCTGAAGGTTCTTATAGTAAAAAGTACATTCTTGAGAAGAATCAGTTTTGCATTCTTAGCCTCTGGATTGTTCCTATTATAGATAGTAATCCTCAAGATGACCAGTGATCTGGATAATGGATGTCAGGTGATCTAGATATCTGAATATTCTTTCCTTAGCCTTCAGGGGGGTAATCAGAGGGTTATCTGGAGGTCTGATATATATATATATATAGATATGCATATATATGCAGAGACTGACAGGGAGCTAGAAAGTTCAAAAGTTTACGTTAAAACAAGAATAGAATCGTTTCTTCATAGCTAAACCTATTTGATTTTAGTAATTTAGCAGCTTGGCTATAGTGAGTCCATTTTATTTCTTCACTCTATTCGTCATGGGTATTGGGTAAGGGTCACATTGGAGAGGTGAGTGTGCCTAGAGCTTGGAAGTCTGGACTGAGTAGAGGGTCTGGGTAAGGAGCCTCCCACAGGAGCTCCCTGCTAAGGACCAGATTGTGGGGGTCACTCTGGTTGAAAGTCTAGTTGAAACCACACTAACTAACATGAGTCAGCGCTGCCTCAGGGGCCCTCCGCCCCTTGGGGGTGGATCATTTATGGGGAGCTGAGTAGAGTAGGGCAGGAGAAACTGGGCCAGACTGCTCTTTTAGCTCGAAGGGCCTCGAGGACTCTCCGCGTCTGTGGAGACAAGGGCACTACACGCACTTCAGAATGAAGAGTTGTAAGACGCTGACCTGGGGCGGGCTGGCAGGGGTGGGGTAGGGTGTGCCTGGACTGGCTCCAGTCCTCAGCAGGTGGATGGACGAAGTGCAAAGGACTGCTGCCCCCTCCTCCTCCTCCTCCCCATTCCCCCGCTGCCAGCGCCCCGCTGGGGAGCGAGAAGGTCGAGTTCCTCTGCGGAACCGGACCCCAGAATGGGACGAATCCAGGTGGGGAAATCGGACCCCGGGCCGCTGGTGCAGCAGGGCCTAGAAAGGCTTTCTCTCTATTCTCTCTATTCTCTCTATTCTCTTTGCTGCTTCTTCCTCTCCTCACCGGTCTAAATGGATCGCTCCGCCTAGTTCCTCCCCCCCGCTCCTAGGGCGCAATGGAAAGTTCCACTGCCCCTCCGGTCCCAGTCCTGAGTTGCGGGGGACGCTGGCAAGGTTGCCAGGGAAAGCCCCGGACGTGACGGCTGAGCGCGACCCCGAGCAGCCGCCCCTCTCCTATCCGTCATTCCCGTGCGCACGCTGTCCTTACCCCCTTTCCCTTCCCCCGGTGGGTTCCAGACAAGGGAGAAGTAAACAGCGGGTGGAGCGAGGCTCTCGGAGCCAGGCCAGGTGGGAGTTTGCACTCTCCCGGGGACCTGCGCGGCTCAGGGTTCTTTCTAGCAAAACCCCGGGTCATACATGGCCAGGGTCATGCGTTAGAAGATCCTGGGCCTAGGAACCCAGTCCTGGCTGAGTTGGGGGCGGGGCTTCGCGTGCGCGTTGGGACGTCCTCATGGTACGGGGTGTGTTGGTGGGGAGATGACTGGAGTAAGTTAAAAGTTGGCTAGTTCATGACCAGAACCCCGCACGGGCGGCGGAGACTGGATTGCCCGTTGTCTGTTCCAAGGGGAGGGGACATTTGTCATCTCTCTCACAGGCCCTCATCGCCCCTCCTCAGGCGAGAGCATGGTGGAGCTCCGGGGGCCGTGGCTCCCCTCGGCTGGTTTCCTGCTCCTGTTGCCCTTCCTGCTGCTGCTGCTGCTGCCTGCAGTCCCCGCACACCATCGCGCTTCCTACAAGCCGGTCATCGTGGTGCACGGGCTGTTTGACAGCTCATACAGCTTCCGCCACCTACTGGAATACATCAACGAGGTCTGGCAGGGAACCCCTAGCTGCGGGGCGTTGGAGGCCTCTACAGTGTTTGGGGAGGGAGAATACGGAACTGAAAACTGCCACTCTCGGCTTGCCCAGTTCCTCGGGAGCTGGTGCTGGCATGGAGCGAGTTGGGTGGCGGATGAGATCCCTGATTCTAACAGGGCACAGTGGGCATGTGGGCTCTGGCCAGGGGGTGGTGTGGAAGGACTTCATACTCCATCCGGTTGCAGCATTGCCCCCTTCCCACAGACACACCCTGGGACTGTGGTGACAGTGCTCGATCTCTTCGATGGGAGAGAGAGCTTGCGGCCACTGTGGGAACAGGTGCAAGGGTTCCGAGAGGCTGTGGCCCCTATCATGGCAAAGGCCCCTCAAGGGGTGCATCTCATCTGCTACTCACAGGGTAGGTGCGTGCCCCTCACCAAACTCCTCAGCACTATCTGCAGCGGGATCCTTGTATGAGGGACACTTCCCGTGTCCCCTTTTCTGAATCGCATTGCTCCAGCAAGGGCTCTGGTGCCTGAGCCATCCTTTTCTGACTTCCCTCAGCACCTGGGTCTCACCTCTGTGTGTGTCCTCAATGGGAGGGAGGCTCCCTGCACTAATGCCCCTTCTTTCCCCATTCCCCATCCCATGATTCTTGGACCTAAGAGATAGTGGGGCAGTAACTAGAGTTAGAGTCAGAAAACCCAGAATCTAATTCTGGCTCTGTCACTTAACATGATGTGAGACCTTTTACCACAGGGTGGGCCAGCATTCTTTGGGCCTGTCTTCTTTTTTGTACATTGCGGTGTTCTGCCTACAGGGGGCCTGGTATGCCGGGCATTACTGTCTGTGATGGATGAGCACAATGTGGATTCTTTCATCTCTCTCTCCTCTCCACAGATGGGGCAGTATGGAGGTGAGGGGGTACTGTGGGCTTCATAGGGGCCCTGAATTTGGGGGGGGGCACAAAGGTTTGGGTCCCCTTGGCACTACTGTTCTCTTGCCAGACACGGACTACTTGAAGTGGCTCTTCCCTACCTCCATGAGATCTAACCTCTATAGGATCTGCTATAGCCCCTGGGGCCAGGAATTCTCCATATGCAACTACTGGCATGGTGAGTAGGGGATGCTAAACTGGGCCTCCGTAGAGAGGGTACTCTGGAGGGTGGGGCCTGCTGCTTCCCCTGTCTGCCATAACAGCAACAATAATGATGATAACATATTTATTGAGCATTTACTGTGTGAACAGGCACTGTTCAGAATGCTTTATGAGTATCACTTATTGTCTTAGAAAGTACAGTCTGGTGCACTTTGGGGTTGGAAAACTTTTTCTTTTTTCTTTTTTTTAAAGATTTTATTGGTGAATTGGGGGAGGGGAACAGCGTTGTGGAATCGGGAAAGGGGAACAGACAAGCTGCTGTCCTTTTGTTCTTCAGTTTAGTTGTGGAAGACGTTGCTTCACTGGCCCATGTTGGTATTGTGATCATTGTGCTCTTCTTAGGTGAGGCCGATCAGTCGCCCGTCTCTGGACGGCTGCTCATGGTGGCTGCTGGCCGCTCACACTGGCTGCCAGCCACTCGGTAGCTTATGGCAGCCCACTGCAGCAGGGGCTGCAGCAGGGGCCGCAGCCTACGCCTGCAGCCTACGCTGTCGCCGGCGACTCTCAGCAGCCCAGCTCCAGGTTGAGCTGTTGTTCAGCATCTTAGCTGTAGAGGGCAGTGTCACTGGCCCTCATGTGGGATCTGAATCAGGGCCCTGCTGCTTAGAGCTGGCTTCCCAAGCCAGCTCTTAACCGCTGGGCCGGCCCCAGAAAACTTTTTCTTTAAAGGGCCAGGTAGTAAATAGTTTTAGGCCATATAGTCTCTGTCCCAACTATTCAGTTCCGGCATACTAGTGTGAAAGCAGCCATACACCATGTGTAAATGAATGTGTCTGTGTTCCAATAAAACTACAGAATCTAGCAGTGACTGCATTTGGCCCACAGGTTACAGTATGCAAATAGCTAGTGTAGTTTTTCAGACGGCAGATGCTGGGTCCAGAGTACTTGGTTTTGAAGCCTGACCCTGCTAGGTGACTTTGGGTGTTACTTAACTTTCCTGTGATTCAGTTTTCCTCATCTGTAAAGTAATAATATAGCACTTACCTTATAGAGTGGCTGTGAGGATTAAATAAATTAATGAATGTAATGTACTTTGAACAGTACCTGGCTCATTGTAGATGCTAGATAAAGGTGTTCGCTAGCATGTTTACAGTTATTATCATTGCTACATTATATTCCTATTCACCTTGTCTATTACTGTAGCCTCCTGATTGGTCTTCTGTCTCCGGTCTTGCCTCCTTTCCCTGCTTCTCTGACTATCTTTCTAAATGCTCTTTGTACCCAGACCCCCACCATGATGACTTGTATCTCAATGCCAGCAGCTTTCTGGCCCTGATCAACGGGGAAAGAGACCATCCCAATGCCACTGGTGAGAACCCAGGCTCCTACTTGGGTCCCATTTCTGCTTTTCTGATCCCCTATGTTCCCCTCTCCGACTTGGCCTGAACCCTGTGACTGAATCAGGCTCTCTTCTTTGCAACCTGCAGCATGGCGGAAGAACTTTCTTCGAGTGGGCCGTCTTGTGCTGATCGGGGGTCCTGATGATGGTGTTATTACCCCCTGGCAGTCCAGGTAATAAGGGACTGTGTGGCCTGAAGATTGGCTAAGGATAGCCCCTAACCTCCACCAATCTTCACCTCTTGCCTAAAACTGGTCCCACTGTTCAGTTAATGGTCCCCACCCTCCACTTATCCTGTCACCCAAGGCTAAAACCTGGGAGTCATCCCCCAACCCCTTGTGTCTAGCTAGTCACTAAGTCCTGCTGACTCTACTCCCTTTCCATCCCTGTCATCTCCGTTTTGTAAAAATTTGAACTTTGAAATAATTGTGGATTCAAAGGAAATTGCAAAGATGGTTTAGAGAGGTCCTGCGTACCCTTCACCCAGTTTCCCCGGTGGTCGCATCCTAGGTAACTATAGCACAATGTCAAAACCAGGAAACTGACATTGGTATGATACATGGAGATAGTTCCAGGCCATTTTATCACATTTCCTATCACCTCTTCTACTCCCCTGGGCTGCTGTGATGGCCTCCACACTTACTTACCCCTTTCATCCAATTCCTAAGGAAGACCCATGCTCCATGGCTCTATATACGTGTTACAAATCAGCACGAGTGACCTGAAATGTCACCTGGTCTGCTTTAGTCACTCAAAACTCACTGAGCACTATGTGCCATGGCCCTGCTCTGGGCCCTGGGGATGCAGCTGTAAATGAAAGAGAAGTCCCCGATGTTACGTAAGCTTACATCTAGTGGGGGCGACAGACAATACACGGAAGTATACATATCGGGTAGTGATAAAACAAGGCAGGGAAGGGGTTAGAGGATGACTGGAGCCCATTTTAGAAGTGGTCAGAGAAGTTCTCCTGGAAGAGTTGCCGTTTGACCAGAGACTGAAGGAAATGAGGGAAGGAGTTGTGCAACGACCTGGAGAAAGAATGACCCAGGGAGAAGGAGCAGCACCTGCATAGGCCCTGGGGCAGGTGGGAGGAAGAAGGAGGCCAGTGTGACTAGAGTGCGGGGAGCTGGGGAGATGGTAGGAGAGGCTGAGAGAGGTTGCAGGGAGCCAGTTATGTGGAGCCTTTGTAGGGCAAAGTAAGGTCCTTGATTTTTTTTTTTTAATCTAAAATACACACAACAAGAAATTTACCATTTTTAAATGTACAGTCCAGTGGCATTAAGTACATTCATATTGTGTAACCATCACCGCCATCCATCTGCAGAACTTACTGTTTTCTTTCTGAACTGAAACTCCATACCCATTAATACTAACTCCACATCCCTGCCTCCCCTCAGCCCCTAGCAGCCACGCCCCTTGGCTTTTTATTCTATGTGAAATGGGAAGGCATCAGAGGGTTTTGGGAAGGAGCAACGTCCCTTATAGTAAGAGATGGGATTTATTTATATTTCATTTCAGATCTACAACAACCCTATGGAGATAGTAATAGCTCACAGTTGTAGCACCTTTTATGTTCCAAGACACTATTCTAAGTACTTTTCAAATAAAACTCATTTACTTCCCACAACCCTGTGGGTGATTACTATTATCCTCTTTTGACATATTAGCAAACTCAGGTGTGAAGAGATTAAATAATTTGCCTACATTCAGAGAGTTGGTAAGTGGAGAAGTCAGGCTACCTGACTTGACCACCTGGTTTTACTTCCTCTTTACAAAGGAAGTATTTATTATATAGGACAAAGAGGATAAGTAACATCCTCAGCTGCACACAGTGGGGCATGTATGGCAGTGCTGGAGCTCAAATCCAGGTCTGTGTGTCCCTACTGCTCTCTTACACCTTATGAAACCCAGCTGTTCAACACTGCCTCCGGGCTCCAGCTCAGCTCCCCCATGTGCACAGCTGTGCCTCACCTCTGCCTTTGCTCGTACTGCTCCATTTGCCTGGGACAGAACTTCCCTAGTTCAAGGTCATCGCTGGGAAGCCTTTGTTGATGCTCTAAAACTAGTGCAGTGGCTTCTGTAGCCCATTGGACTTACCACTATTAGCATCTGTTCAGTTATTCATGGCCAGCGGCCACTCAGTGCCCATGCCAGTCAAATATTGATTAAACAGATTTGAAGACCTTTTTATTTTGAAATAATTTCACACTTAAGAAGTTACCAAAGTAGTACAACGCGATCTTGTATACTCTCCATCTAGAGTTCCCAAATGTTAACATTTTACCATTCTAAGAGATATTGTGTATGCTCAAGCAGTAGTTCGTCATAATCAGAAGTGTCTGGATGCTGATGGTAGTCACTGTGAGCACCTCTTGTAATTCCAGAAGTCAAACATGACTATATATTGAGTACTACAATTTTCATACAGTTTTTTTCCTTTCTTAAAATGTGTATACAGTTTTTTGGCACTCTCTATACTGTGTGTGTGTGTGTGTGTGTGTGTGTGTGTGTACCATTTGAGAGTAGGTTATAGACATAATGTCTCTTTACCCCTAACACCTCAGTATGTTAGTATATATCTCCTATATACAGGACACTGTTTTACATATTCACAATACAGTTATCAAAACCAGGAAATTAACATTGATTTGGTACTCTATAGAACTGCTTCACATTTTTCCAATTGTGTTTTTAGGAAAAAAAACAAATCCAATGCAAGATCCAACCCAGGATCATATTGTATTTAGTCATCATATCTCTTTAGCCCCTTATCTGGAATACTTCCTCAGTCTTTGTCTGTGACATTGACATTTTCGAAAGCCAATGGGCCAGCTATTTTCCCATGCTTAGATTCAGGTTATGCATTTTGATGGGAATTTGGCAGAAGTGATGCTGTGTCCTCAGTGCATCATCTCATGAGGTACATGATGTCCAGTTAAATATTTTGAGTGTCCCCCACTGCTGCCTAGAGTCTCCCCAACAGGTGGTGAGTTCCTAAAGGACCCTAGCCCACCTTGATTTTTCTCCAGCTCTCCTGATAACACCCCCCCCCCTTCTCTTTGTAGCTTCTTTGGTTTCTATGATGCAAATGAGACGGTCTTAGAGATGGAGGAGCAACTGGTGAGTCCCTGGGATTTCTTCCTGTCTTCATGCCCTGTCCCCCCTCAGTCTGTAGACCTCCCTGCCACTGAGCCATGAGCTGAAAGGTTCACTCTGTGGGGAGGGGGCCCGGGACACCAGCAGGAACTCACTTTGTCTCTCCCTGTGTCTTTCTTCCATGCCCCTTCACCCAACTTGAAGGTTTATCTGCGGGATTCTTTTGGGTTGAAGACTCTATTGGCCCGAGGGGCCATAGTGAGGTGTCCAATGGCTGGGATTGCCCACACAGCCTGGCACTCCAACCGCACCCTTTATGAGACCTGCATTGAACCCTGGCTCTCCTGAGGACGTCCCCAGGGATCCCCCAGGAACTCCCTGGCCCAGAGACCAAGTGGTGGCCTTGGAAAGCAGATGCCAGGCTCTTTTGTGCCTGTGACCACATCATTGCTCCCACACTGCCCCCACCAACCAGGGCTCCCAGGACCTCCCTCCTCTGCTCCATGAATGACAAATCCTGGTCTCCCCCACCTCATGTCTTCATTGGGGGGGTGCTCCATGCTCTCCCATCCTCCCAAGGCTGAGGCTGGGAAGTGAGAAACCAATTTTTTAACTTGTGTCTGCTCCTCCATCTCTTGCTGTACAGGAGGAGAACCCAGCCCCTGCCCACCACAGGGGTCTCCTTCCAGGCCACTCAGGACATTTTTAGCTTCTGTTCTCTCCACGTTCCTTTTTCCTCTGAACTCCCCTGTCGTCAGCCCTCCCAACCCCCAAGAAGGATGACCCATGAGAGTGGGGTTCTGAGGCTCCCCTATGGGGATAGTTCCATTCTTGAAGTGTCAGTGTTGGGGAATATCTGTGGCCTGCAAGGCCCATCTCAGGTTTGGGGATCCCCCAGTCCCTATGTTTAGTGTTGGGGTACCCCCTGGGAGCCCAGTTTCTTTGAGGCCCCAGCCCCTCTTTTAACTACCCTTGAATGGGTATTACCTTATATTTATGGAAATAAAGTTCCATTTCCTCAGTGTGGCTTGGCTTATTTCCAGGTGAGGGGGACCTGGCTCCCCAAAGAGGGTGGGGATGGAGAGCCCAAGGCCTGGGTGCCCGGATGCCTGGTCTGGGGTGGGACCCCCTTGGTGTTTCCGCTCTCTCAATGCCCATTCTGTGTGGGTTCCTGATTCTCTGTGGGTTCTTTCCTGCTGAGGACAATTCTCTTCCTGTCCCAGCCTAAGATTGGGGGACTGAGCCCAGGGCTCCAGTGGTTTGTGCCCCAGCCTCATGAATGGAATGCGCCTGCCACCCCCAGGCTAGATGACGGGGCTAAGGGGTCAGGGAGGGCATTTAGTGAGCCCCTTTTCAACCTCCATAGGCCAGAGCTGGGTGAGGGGCTGGACAATGCGCCTCTTCTTCCTTGAAAGAAGGAATTTTGGTGGAGACAATAGGGCCCTGTCTGCTCTGGCATGGGGGGCGGTGGCTGACTCAACTCTGTCCCGCCGGGCCCTAACAAATGTCACCAAGAAATGGGGTCAGTTTTCCCCGTAGTGCCCTGGCTGCCCCCTGCCCCTTGGTGATGACTTGTCCTTCTTTCTTTCCTCAGCTGACCTTGCCTCTTCTCCCATGACCTGACCCTACTTCGTTCTTTGCCAGCTCTGTCTCTCTCCCTGCCCCACAACTCGCCCCTAGTCTGTGATGGGTTTAAGGTGGGAGGCAAGGGCCAAGGGTACTGGTGGTGTTAGAGCTGGGAGTCTCTGCTGATGGCGTGTGGGGGTGGGAATGTCCAGAAATAAGAGGCCTCTGAAGGTTGGGAAAATACTTCTAGGGGGCCTGTTGCCAGAGTGGGGGTGAAGGTAGTGGGACTTGGACCCCACTGAGCTGACCAAGCTGGAGCTCTGGAGGAGGCCTGTGGGAGGGGGCAGAATGGGAGGACTCTGTCTGGCCCAGCCCCTCCTCTCCCTTGCAGCTGCCCTGCCTGCCCACCAGTCTGACCTGCTGCTGCTGAGGCTGGTTGGCCTGGAGTCTCTGCGAGAGAGAAAAAGGCAGGTGGGGAGGGAATGTCAATGGGGAAAGCGCGGGGGTCACTCAGAGCCTTAGAGTGAGTGTGAGTTGGGGGGTGTTGTCTGAGTGAGGGGTGTATGTGATGGCGTGGGTGTGTGAATATGGTAAGAATGTGTTTAAGGTGTGGACTTTCTAGGTGTGTAGGTTTGTGCAAGGAGGGAGGGGGTATAGTGGTGAATAGTTGAGGTTTTGAAGGTAGTGAGGTTAAGGTAGAAGAGGGCATGTTAGAGATAGGAGGGTCATGAGGGGAGGGCTAACGGTGTGTGTAGAGGGGAGGTGGAGGGAGTGTGTCCGGGTGTGAGCTTGTATGATGCTGCATGGACCACTATGTGCTAAAGAAAGGGGTGGCGTTAGTTAAATGTACACGCAGGCATTGACAGTCCTGGTGACTAGGGCATGTTTGTACAAATGAATGTGCTGTCACCCTTAGAGGGCACCAGCGGACTGTGCTTGGTGGACTGGAGCTAAAGAAGTTAATAGAGTGAAAGGGCCTTCATTAACCCTTTCTTGTCTGCAGCCGACAGTCGAGTCAGAAACATGGGGCCCAGGGCTGAGCTGTGTACTCTCTTAGGCGGACTGTCAGTCTTCCTCCTACTGATGCCAGGCGAAGGTTCCAAGGGTGGATCCCTTAAAGAGAGGTGACAACAGAAGGGGCGGGGCCAGGGTGAGGTCTTCAGGAAACCTACTGGGGTGGGGCTTCACAGGTGGCAAAACAAAGTTTAGAATGGGGCTGAGACTGTCACCTAGAGGGAGGGCGGGGCCTCAGTATGCCTAGAGGCACCTGGGACTCCAGGCTCCCCAGGGCCTGGCCCACTCAATGTCTCCCACCTTCTCCCGCATGGGTGCAGTCAAGGGGTCTGCTCCAAGCAGACTCTGGTGGTCCCGCTCCGTTACAACGAGTCCTACAGCCAACCGGTATATAAGCCCTACCTGACCCTGTGTGCTGGAAGGCGCATCTGCAGCACCTACAGGTGAGGGATGGGTAGCCTGGATTTCAGGGTCTTTCAAGAGGAACCCCAAGAACCCAAACCAGGACCCATATGCCAGGGTCCAAAGCCAGGGGCTGTGCTGTGTTCCAGGACCACTTACCGCGTGGCGTGGCGGGAGGTTAGGAAGGAGGTGCTGCAGACCCACGCCGTGTGCTGCCAGGGCTGGAAAAAGCGGCATCCCGGGGCGCTCACCTGTGATGAAGGTGAGGCTGGCTCTTCCCGGGCCCCTAGGTTGGCACACCCACGGGTCTGGGGAGTCGGCGGCGGCCCAGTTCCGAACAGCCCTTCCTGCGCCCGCAGCCATCTGCGCCAAACCCTGCCTGAACGGAGGCGTCTGCAGTCGCCCGGACCAGTGCAAGTGCGGCCCCGGCTGGGGTGGGAAGCACTGTCACGTGGGTGAGTCGGTAGCCCTCCCGAGCGGTGGCGCGGGGCCCTTGCCCACCCGGGCGCCCGCCCCCGCCCCACCCGCTCAGCCCTCTCCTTTTTCCGGTAACTAGATGTGGATGAATGTAGGACTGGCGTCACCCTCTGTTCGCACCATTGTCTCAACACGGCAGGCAGCTTCACCTGTGGCTGCCCCCACGGTCTGGTGCTGGGCCTGGACGGACGCACCTGCACGGAGGGGTCCTCGGAGGCCCCAACTAGTGCTAGCATCCTTAGCGTGGCGGGTGAGCGGCGGGAGTGGGGCCGCGGGGAGGGCAAGGGCCGGTGGCAGGGACTGGGCAGTGGTCACGCTCTCCTTGCTCTCCTTTGTCCCAGTTCGGGAAGCGGAACAGGGTGAGCGCGCCCTGAGGCGAGAGATTCGTGAACTGCGCAGGCGCCTTGAGCGGCTGGAGCAGGTGAGCTGGGGCCCCAGGGGCCAACCCTGGTGAACAGGGCACACCCCATTCTCAACACCCTGAGGTGTCTCTTCCTTTGTAGTGGGTTGGGCAGGCCGGGGCCTGGGTCCGAGCGGTGCTGCCTATGCCACCGGAAGAGCTGCAGCCGGAACAGATGGCAGAGCTGTGGGGCCGGGGCGACAGGATAGAGTCTCTCAGCGACCAGGTGCTGCTGCTGGAGGAGAGGCTAGGCGCCTGTGAGTCTTCATGCCCCTCTGCTGGGACCCCATCCCCGAACAGTGGCCTCCAGCTCTTCCCAATTCAATTTCTCTTTTCCCAAAACCCTTCCCCAACACTCACTCTCCCCATACTGTCCGGATAGCTGCACATCACCACCCCTTCTTCTGGTACTGTCCCCAACCTCGTGGTTTCACTTGTTGGGTGAGTGTTAGTCTCCCTAGTATGCATACACTCCAGGCTGGAGGCTGGAGGCAGTCCACAGCCAACAGATCTGCCTGTCTCCTTATCATTAACCAGGCTCCTGTGAAGACAATAGCCTGGGTCCAGGCCTCAGTGGACAATGAGGAGGAACCTGTGCAGAGCCCCTGCACCCTAATTTATACAGAAACTGGACCCACTAATGCTTTGGGATTCGCCAGCTGGGGAGCTGCAGATAAGGTTATCTGCCACTAAAGGAGCCATGAGCATGGAAACTTCAGAGAACTGAAGAGGGAAGGCTGCGTGTCTTGGCCTGTTCCTGAGTCGTCCAGCTGGGGCAGACTGCCTGGGGATGGGCACTGCTCCTTCAGCTCCTTAACAAACGCAGCCAAAAAATGTCCAGATCTCTCTCTCAATCTTTATTCTCAGTGCCTTGCTGTTATCCAGATAATTAATAAAAACCAACCACGCAAAACTGAGTCTCACCCTCTCCTTTTGCTCCTAGCCCACCTCCCTGTCGTGGGCACAGGTTTGGGATGGGAGGCGGGGAGTGGCTAATGCCACAGGGAGGAAATGAAGACTGGCTCAGAGTGGGGTAGCCTCAAAAGAAAGAGAAATAAATTAAAAAGCCCTCTTATCCTCTCCGGCCAGGGTTCAGTTCCTTCCCCCAACTCCCCAGGGAGCAATGAGTGCAGTGCCTAATGTCTGCCTCTTCCCCTGTGTCCGGTGAGACTGGTACTGCAGAGGGATGGGTAGGGTCAGGGCCACGGAAGAACTGTACCACAGGGACGGGGAAGCAGAAATGTGAAGACCAAACTGGCATCCAGGAGTGTGCTCAGTCCTGGGCATGGGCAGGGATGAGACCTCTGAGTGAGAAGAGTCCAGCCTCCAGACAGGAGGCTCCTCAGGAGGGAGCGTGAAGGTGCTGAGAAGTGTTCCCAGGAGGAGCCTGGGAGGAGTGTTCCAGGCATCGACTTCCAGCCACGGCATGAGTCCTCCGCCCCACATGGATGAGTCCACTGAATCCATGGACCTGGGGGTGGGGTGGGGATTGTTCCACAGAATGGATGAGTCCACTGGCCAATGTGGGGTGAAGGGGGAGAGAAGACCGCAAAGGAAGAGGGTCCACTGGGGACAGAATGGAGTGCTCCCACCCTTGTGTAGGCTGAGCCACTGGAGATGAGGGGGAGGCAACTGTCCCACAGACATTATGGCACAGGAGGTGGGTAAGGGTCAGAGTGGGGGACTGCATGGAGGCAAGAGAGTCCATGTTGGGAGCTGGGCAGGGGCAGGGACATCCACTTCAGAAGCTGAAGGTTCCAAAGAGGAGGCCTAGTGGGGAGAGGGGAAGTGAGGAAGAGGGCGTGGCCCTGCTCCAGGACCCTTGGGGCTTTGTAGGTGGGTGGAGGAAGGCAGGGGAGATGGGAGGGGAGCTCAGAGCCCGGCCTCGCCCGCTCCTCCAGGCTTCTTCAGATAGTCACCACCACCCCTGCCATCACTGGAGATTTCCCGGAAAATGGTGAGCATGGAGTGCCGGACTCTGTCGGCCAGAGCTGGGACGTCGTCTGGTGTCAGCCCTTCTGTGGGCACTGGGGGCAGCACCCGGACCTGACATCGCCCTGGGAGGGGGTGAGCACTGTCAGGGCCGGTCTACCCAGGCCTCTGCCCACAGGTTGGGCCCAGTTTGTGAGCTCTCCTGCTACTCCCCTCCTCCACCTTCCAGTTCTCTTTCCTGACCCTAGACAACTGCCCCTCTGCCTGCCAGCTGCCACCTGCTCTTTGAGGGCCTCCTGCCCAAAGCCTTCCTCAAACCCTAGTCCAGGCACAGCACCCTTCCAGTCCCCATTGTCTCAGCTGAGTGTTTCCTGCTGAGTGTTACAGCTTTGCACACACAGGTTTTATCTTTCCTGTTGACAGTAATGGCCTCTCTTGAAGGGACCAACTGTTACCTATCTAGCAGGGTATGGTGGGTGCTTAATAAATACTTATTGGCTGCTGTGGGGCCACACTAGATGATCCTGTGGACATCCTGCCTCTGGGGACATCCCTCTAGCCTCTCCCGTGGCCCTCTGCCACCCCCATCCCCAGATCAGCTCAGAGCCCTCACCTGAAGTGAAGCGGCGCTCCTTCTTGCAGTAGAAATCTTGATAGGAGGACATGACTATGGGGACAATGGGAACCTGGGGAGGGGAAAAGCAATCAGCCCACGGCTCCCTTCAGAGGCCCCCATGACAAGAGACGAAGGGACGGTAGGGAGCTGGGGGCTCAGCAGCAGAAGGGGAGGCAGTAATCACCTGGGCCTGCACTGCAAGGTGAAAGGCGCCACGTTTGAAGGGCAGCATGGAGCCGTTGTGGTTTCTTGTGCCCTCAGGAAAAACCCAAACCCGCACCTGGGGAAGAAAGAGGGTCCAGAAGCCACACACACAGGGCAGCACCGCAAAATGGTCATGACGCTACAGTGGGACTTCTGAGGTCCCTTGGCCCTGCATGTCAGTTTATTTACAACTGTTCTACTCCATAAGCCCCCGACCCTCACATCCCCAGGCTGACTCACGTCCTGGCTGAGCAGGGTCTGGGCGACCTCAGACATGACACTGATGGCATCCCCAGTGCGCTTCCGGTCAATGAAGATGACTCCAGCCAGCCAGCAGGCCAGCCCAGCAGAGCCGGCCCACAGCAGCTCGCGCTTGGCGATAGGCACACAGCGACCCGGCAGTACCTCCATCATCCCTGGGGCACAGAGGGGAGTGGGGTGAGGCACAGTCACCAAAGGTGGCCCACCTCGCCCAGGGCATCCCCCACACTAGGGCCTGGGTATAAAGGAAGAGAGACCAGGGGGCAGGGTGGGAAGTCCGCAGTGGAGGGAAGGGTGACTAAAGGTCTACAAACGCTGCTTATGAGGGAGCTGTACCCCAGGGAAAGACGGCAATGCCCCAGGTGAGGGGGAGTTGAGGACCTCCAGGAGAGGTGATTCTGGGGAAGGTTCCAGGAGGAAGGGCATGGCTGGGGGAGGTGTGTCCCGTGAGGGGGTCTCACCAAGCAGGTCAAGGGAGCTCTGGTGGTTGGAGACGACGACGTAGGGCTGTGAGGGAGGGAAGTGGTGAGCCCCTCGCACCTCCACTCGGATCCCATACAGGTATTTGATGTGGAGCAGCATCAGACGCAAGATCCTACGGGGTCACAGCAAGGGGTTCCAGCGGGACCCACCAATGTCCCCGTGCATGCCTCAGGTCCCCCCCGCCCCCTCAACTCCTCCTGATCATCCTTGCAGTCCTCTCCCCGGACTCTCCAGTCTCTCCGACACACCCTACACTCTCCCCATTGCTTCTGACCCGTAGGTCCCCTCATCACCCAATGCCCTGGCCCTCACTTCATGTTCTCGACATTGCGTCCTCGCACGGCACACACAGGAATGGCGAGCACAGCCAGGAAGAGGATCCAGCCGTTGTAGAAGGCCATCTTGAAGAAGTACTTGGCACTGGGGCTGCAGAACCACAAGGTGGGCAGCAGGACGAGCAGCAGCAGGACGAGCAGCAGCAGCACGGTCCATGCCCCTGGCCACAGCTCCATTCTGGTCACCTGCAGGGGTGGGACGAGGGGCATGGGTCTCATTCCTGGAGGGGGGTGAGGTGGGCAAGATGCAGAAGGCAGGAGCCACGGGATGGGCTCAGGGCTCCCGTCGAAACCCACCCAGGAAGCCTCTCCAGGATGGGGGCGGGGGATGGCTCCAGATACGTTCAGACACACGAGAGACATGTGACATGTACATCCACAACTCAGGTACAGGATAATGAAAGGACAAGAAACGTGAGAGCGAACACTAGTAGCTGGTAAGGATCTTAGAGCTGTCTACACCTGCGCTGTCCAATGCAACAGCCACCAGCCACATATGGCTCCTGAGCACTTGAAATGTGGCCTGGTTCGAATTGAGACTCGCCGGAAGTATAACATATGTATCAGATCTCAAAGACTTGGAATGAAAATCAGAATGTAAAATATTCCATTAATAATCTTTTATATTGATCACATTTTGAAATTACAACCTTTTGGACATACTGGGTTCAATAGAGCGTATTATTAAAATTAATTATACTCTGTTACTTTTTCACCTTTTTCAATGTAGCTACCAGAAAATTAAAAATTACATATGTGGCTTGCGTTATATTTGTGTTAGGGCTCGTCTATATACCATATATTCTGTTAAATCACAAAATTTACATTTTACAGGAAGAGGCCCAGAGAGGTTCAATAACTTACCTGAGGTGATATGGCTCCTAAGAGGTGCTTCCTAGCTTACACCTAAGCAGCTGTGCCCCTAACCACTGAGTCACACTGCTGCCTGTACGTATACACAGAGGTGCACAGAGCACACAGCAGACACAGTGAAAGTGACGAAACAGCCACAGACATTCTCAAGGGCTGACTGGCAAGAATCAAAGCGGTCACTTATGAAAACACAGACACACAGTCATACAAAGACAGACACATACACAAACTTACAATAACACCCAGTGACAAATGAAGGATTGGAAATGCGTATCTAGAAAAATCCCTCTCCACCCAGGCGGCCTCCCCCATTCCCAGATACAGCCATGGACATACCAGGAGTAATTACGTCCATCAATCCTGCCTTCACAGACAGGCAAACAAATCCCACCACCCCTTCCCTCCCTTCCAGCAACACTGGAGCAGTTTGGTCACGCAGGTACAGAGGATAAGGCCTCACCAAGAGAAAATGGGGCAGCAAGTAAAAGGACATCACACCACCTGCCCTGGGAGAGAAAAGAGCTCAGGAGGAAGAGGCACAGGCACCCAGAACTGCCTTCTAGACTCTTCCTTCTTCCTCCACTAGGCTGCCCCGCGGCTAGGGGCAGGGTCACAATTCACAAAAACGGTGTTCAGGCAAATACGAATCATTCCTATCAAGGCCAAAGGCACTTCCTTCCAGTGACAGGATGGGCTGTGCTCAAAGGTAAGCCCATTGCCAAGAGTGAAGGTAACAGGCAATAGAGGAAACACGAGACCCTGCCGGCTCTAAAATGGTAGGCTTCTGTGCTCTCCACACCACTGCCCCAGTAAGTGCGGAACAGCATCTCTCCCCTCCACACTCTGCAACAGGCTCCTAACGCTTCCCCTCCAATCCAGCTTCCACATGGCAACCACAGAGATTTCTGTAACACAAATCTGGGCATTTCCCTGTCTTGCCTAAAGGCCCTTCTCACTGAGATGACTTCTGCTTACATCTTGGGCCACGTGTCCACAAATGCCTTTTTATCCAAACTGACTTATTTCATTCAGTTCCTCAGACACACCATGATCCTTCATGCTTCTGTGCCAGTAAGCAGGCTCTTGCTTTCGGCTGGAATGCCCTTCCACCTCTCCTTCACTTGCCTCACTCAGCTCAGTGTCACATTTTGGAGGTCTTCCCGAACCCCTCCAGGCCTGAGTTTTCATTACACTTTTATCTTGATCACTGGTTCTCAAAGTATGGAAATGCAACTTCTTGGACCTCACCCCAAATCTCCTGAATCAGAAATTCTGGGCGTTCGGCCCATCAATCTGTATTTTAACAAGCCCTCCAGGTAAGTTTGAGAACCACTGATCTTGACACCACACTGTGTATAACTGCTCACTGGCATTTTTGTTTCCTTCCCTGGCCTGTAAGCAGCCTGACGACAGGGACTGTCTTATCCCCAATGCCTATGACAGGAGGCAGGGAAGGTGCTCGTAAACATGTGCTGAACAGATCATGAGGCGTATACATACCCACACAGCCAGAATCAATGACAGAGGCAACGGTTCTGAACATGAAGACAGCTACCCTCTTGAGGACTATTAGTCATGAAAAGAAAACTCACTGAGAAAGCAGTGAACACAGCCAGCCCAACAGTAACCTACTCTGAGTATACACATTCACTACACAGCCACAGTGAAGGCAGAATGACACCAAGATGGCACACACCACTGTACACACAAGAGAAACATACAGAATGGGGACTAACATGCCACAGGGGAAAGGTGCTGCGGTCATCAAATACACGACAACAGTGCAAAGTTGGGGACAGATAATGCCACGGCAAGGCTGACCCTGTGGCAGGCATTGAGCTCTGCAGACAGACTGTACCCAGCCACCAGAGAGAGAGATTGTGCAGAAGGGACACAGGCCAGGGAGGTCAGCAAGGTAAGGCATACAGGGATGTTCTTTGGGGAGGCCCGTGACCCTCTCTGATGCGTAACATTGAGTGACCCTCTCTGGAGCAGAAATAGCCACTGATTTATAAACATGATGGAGCGCCAAATGGATTAGTGAGCACATGGTTCCCAAAACACTGCCAATAACATTAAGAAATAAATAGTAAGTGTAACCATAAGCACACATGCTTTGGGCATGTCACATCAGTGTGTCACACAAAGGAGCACGCACACCTGTGGTGTGAACCTTGACTGGGAAAACACATGCAGCAAAGAGGTCAACCTGATCACAAAAAGAGCATGTGCTAGTCAGTTAAGCCACGAGATAGTACACATGAAGACTACTGCATATGGCGGGACCATGGACAGAACATGTGAGCCCAAACAAAATAATCTTTACACGCTCAAGTAAACATGCATAAGCACATCATGTGCAAGAAACATGAAACCAATAATAGATGTAATATGTATATGAAAACTCACAGCCTTGGAAATATCAAGACAAGACAGGAGACATGGACATAAGATCCGAGAATGAGAATGGGCAATTCTGATGGAAAACAATGCACCATTTCTCCACAGCCCATGGGTAGCATAGGATAACCTAGCAGCACACAGGCCATTCAATATGTCAAAGGTACACAGGCTCTATGTAGAAAACACGGCCCCCCACAGGCATTTATGTGTTAGTAAGGGTCTAGCAGTGTGGAAGACCACTGAAAGACAAGAGGCCCTGTGCCTAGATGGGAACGGACCTGTTTGAGGGCATTCCTAGGAAGCAAATTCCGCTCAGGAAGGGGAGCAATAAAAGGCCTTCTCCTCAGCACAACTGCCCAAGAGTCATGTGGGGCCAAAGGGCAAGAAAAGGAATTGGGGAAGGTGCAGGAACTCCCTCTCCAGGATGCCCTGTCCACACCCCCATCCCAAATTTACGAGGTCTCCGTCTCGCCTTCCTCTTGTCTTTTCCATCCTTTCTCCCTCTCAGGCCCCCTCTCCTTTCCCCAGCAACCCTCTCCCCAGTCAGCTCTCATCCTTTTCTCAGCAACCCTCTTCCCAGTCCGCCCTCACAGACCCAATCTGGCCCCCACCCTCTCCTCCACGTCCCTTTTAGCAACCTCCACCCTCCTCCTCCCAGCCCTTTCCTGCCCCCACCTCAGTGGGGTGGGGAGCCTGGGGGGCTGGCCCCCTCCCCAGCCAGTCTGCCGCAGCGGTCGTGGCGGGTGGCTGTGTCTCTGCCTCTGTCGGGGTGTCGGTGCCAAGGGGGCGACAGGATTTGGGGGTGTCCTAGCCCCGGCCGATGGAGAGGAGGTGAGAGTGGGAGGCTGGGCCCATGGCGGTAGGAATGGTGGGGGGTTGTCCCCCCAGCTCCCTCCCTCCCTTCCTGCTGTCTCTCTGAGGGCTGGGGCTGCCGCTGCCGTTATCCCCCCACCCCTCCCAACGCCTGCTGACTTCCGGGGCTGGTCAGGAAGTAGGGGGCGGTGATGGGCGGCCAGTTTTGCCAATCGCCTCCCAAGAACCCAGGCATCTCCTCCCCACATCTTCTCTCGCTAGCTACGCTCGGAGAGATTTCGGCTGGGCTCGGGCTCTGCTTCTGCCCTCGGGCTCCAGCTGCACCTTTTTTTTCCTCCATGAAGTTCCCTTTCAGCACACATGACTTGCGTGTCCCTTCGTGCTGTATTCCTTCCTCGGCCCATTCCTTCTCCTCAGTCTCATCAGCTCTCCTCTTGTCACTTTTTCTTGGGTTCTTCCTTTCTCCTTAACTCCCATACCTGCTGGTTGCTTATTCCTTCCAACTCTTCTCCAAGCCCCCTTTTCCTGTCCTCCATTCAATTCCAAATATTTATCAAGCACCTGCTATACGCCAAGCACCGACTTCTTCACCTCTCTTTGTCCCTCCAGGGCTCCATCTCACCTCATCTCACCCTCTAGCCCTCTAGTCTGGTCTCTTTGCCCTTTGTCCTGCTCACTATCTCCAGCAACCCAACTTCCTCCTCCACACCAGCCCCCTGTTTGTAGAGAAAGGATACTCGCAGGGCCTCTCTGCCCGTTTTCTCATGCTTTTTAACCTCAGTACTTTTTCTTTTCTATTGTAGTTCCTTCCTGTCAGTCTCCTTACCTAAGCTGAGACAACCCCTCTCCCCAACATAGAATCTGGGTGCATCTATTCTTACAATGAAAATTGGGCATTAGGGTTGCTTTCTTGGAAAAAAAAAAGTGAGCAAGAACGCTGATTCGTCTGAGAAGATGCCGCCTTAAATTAATTTTGTAGCCATGTATCTAGCTCCCTCTCTAGCCCTTGTCCCCCATACTACCATTATCCTTCCAGGATCATTCCATCACTCCTCCTTCCTTGGTCTCCACCTCTCCTCAATAACTTTTCCCCTAAACCTCTACAGAACTTCTGAACCCTCACTTTCCCTGCTCTCCTCTAGGCAACTTGCAACTTCTCACCTTTCCTCACTTGAATCACGTGGGACCTTTTACCTAGTTGCTGTTGAACTGCCCTCAGCCCGAGTCTGCCCCGCCCCCGCCCCCAGATAACACCTTTGCCTTGCTGGAGTTTACACGCCCTGAGGAAGAAAATGTAAGGAACACTGGTAGTGGGAGGACTGTTACCTAGTTCTGCTCCTTGGGTCACAGTGAGGGTCACTGACTGTAGAACAGAGGCCCAAACCCGTAGGAAAGGCCCAAGCTTTGAAGCCGCTTGCCTAAGTCCCACGGGTCCAGCCCAGGAGGAAGACCCCCGTTCTAATGGGCACCTTACGAGAAGGAAGAGGTGGGCCTAACCCCATCCCGCCGCGGGTCGCTTTAGAAAGGGGCGGGCCTTGCCCGTTCAGCACCCACTCACAAAGGGGTGGAGCTAGTCCTTTTCTGCTGTAAAGATTTAAAAGAGTCGAGGTCAGCTCTGTTCTACTGTGTCACTTTAAAGAGCGGGTGGGCCTTTAGTCTATTTCTACTCTGTAATTCACCTAAAGAGGGGCGGGAGTCGTCCAGCCGAGAGAAGTGGGTTAACACCAGCGCCGCAGATCGATGTTCGCATCATCGAAACGTCGGGCTAATCCCAGTTCTGCGCCCTTCTTCACTAAGAGGGAGGGGCGGACCCAAGTTCTGCTCCGAAGGAGGCCGGAGCCATTTTGAACCCTGCGACCCTAGTGTTTGTCCTCTTTTCTGAGTTCTTTGCCGTCTTTTCCGATCTCGGCCAATCAGGGGCGAAAGAAACGGCCCAATCAGCCGAGAGAGACCACAGTCGGAGGACCCGGATGAGTCTGAGCCGAATCCTTTGAACCCGCTAACCCAGCCAGTTGTAGAGTAGTCACCATGACGACAAGATAGGTGAAGGGGTGGGACCAGAGAAGGCTCAACTCTCACAAGATTGGCCCACCCCTTCCCGCCGCCTGCTGCGCATGCGTATTTTATCTAAACACCATTTTCCTCGAGTTCTAGCCAATCAATTGCTTTAGAGCCGTAAGCTCCAAAGTCCAATAGGAATGCGGACATTCTGTGACAGAGGAAGCGAAGAAAAGAAAGGGGCTTATAGCAGGGAGGTCTATGTGGCCCCGAACCAATTGCTTCTGGCCTTTGGTTATGACTGGCAGCCTCCCAGACGAATAAAGCCTTCCCTGGCCCAGCGACAGGACGTATGACGTTATTACCAATCCCTTGGCATTCCATACTGACTGCTACTGTATCATCCAATAGTCATTGTGCAAGGGCAGGACCGCGTAAACCTCTTTCCTTCCCCGCCCTCTGCGCCAATCCTTTCTTTTGAATCCTGTGTGATTGGCAGGCACTCAGACCAATCGTGATTAAAAAACCTTGAAGGCTCCCCAACGATCGTGAGCAGGAGGCGGTTTCTCGTTTGTTGGGGCTTGTATATGTGTTTGCGTGGACTAAGGGGTACGTGGGGGCGAAACAGAACAGGCCATGGCAGCTGCGGAGGAGGAGGACGGGGGCCCCGAAGGGCCAAATCGCGAGCGGGCCGGGGCGGGCTCAACCTTCGAATGTAATATATGTCTGGAGACTGCTCGGGAAGCTGTGGTCAGTGTGTGTGGCCACCTGTACTGGTGAGAATCGGGAAGGGGTCAAAAAGGAGTGGGGCTCACCTCCATACTGGGGAGGCTGGGGGCGGGCGGACCATACACTTATACGTATAATCAGAGGGCACATCCCGGTAGGTGAGACATACGTCTTTTCGGGCATATGTGGGTAGGTGGGTCAAGCCTGTACAGACGAGACTTGTGGAAAAGAGAGGCATAGGAACTAGGAGCTGGGACATAGGGTGTTAAGAGGAAGTAGGGCGGGAGAGTGGGCACCGCGCATCTGTACAGATGAGACCCGAGCCACCTTACTCAGAAAAGTGAGGGGTCTTAGCTATACTGGTGGAAATGGATTAGACTCAAAAGGTAAGGGAGGCATGCATCAGTTGAGTGGGGGAGACCTAAGGAATGTGGGATCACATTCAGGTGAGGTGTGGAAGGGGGTGGTATGCCCTGCGGACAAGGGCACTGTGGAGGGACAGTCTTGAGAGGTTAAAGGATTGTGGAAATAGGGACTTTATTGGGCCTGGAAAAGAGGAAAAGGAGTAGTGGGGGAAGGTGCTAGTTAGGGGATTTGGTTTGGGAGTAATGGGGGCAAGGATGGGGCTGGGGCTGAACGAGATGTGGAAAGGGGAGGTTGCAGAGAACTGGAAATGAAGACAGAAGGCAGAGAAGGGAGGGGATGAGGGTGTGTGTGTGTGTTTTCGGGGAGAGGAGAGGGTTGAGCATGCTGAGGATGGATGAAGTTTAAGGTGTTGGTAGATGAGAGAAGCAGGAAGGCCAAGTTAGCTGGCGTGATATAGGAGGTGGAAAATATGAAAAGTAACAGCAGGTAATACTTGGGAATTGGGGGTGAGATGGGACTCTGAGGTCGGGTCTGTGTCTCTCTTTTCTGTAGCTCGTTTGACCTTTTTTCTTTCCCCCCATCCAGTTGGCCCTGTCTTCATCAGGTGCGTACTCAGAGCAGATGAAGAGGGAAATGGGGGGGTCTGAGGAGCTGGAAGACCCTGCTGTGTACTGGAAAGCACTTCATTTTTTCCCCCCAGTGGTTGGAGACACGGCCAGAGCGGCAAGAGTGCCCAGTGTGTAAAGCTGGGATCAGCCGAGAAAACGTTGTCCCCCTTTATGGGCGAGGGAGCCAGAAGCCCCAGGATCCCAGGTGAGAGAGAAGAGGGTGCTGAGGGAAGATGGAAGACTTCCTCCCTGCGAGTGGGGTCTGCAAGTGGAGAGAACATTCCCTGTTGACATCTCTCTCCTTTTCCTCAGATTGAAAACTCCACCCCGACCCCAGGGCCAACGACCAGCTCCAGAGAGCAGAGGGGTGAGTCTTGTCTGATTGTGTTCCTTTCTTGCTAAAGACTTGCCTGGCCCCCCTCTAACTTTTTCTGCCTCCTTAGGGATTCCAGCCATTTGGTGATAGTGGGGGCTTTCACTTCTCATTTGGTGTTGGTGCTTTTCCCTTTGGATTTTTCACCACCATCTTCAATACCCACGAACCATTCCACCGGGGTACAGGTAAGAGCCTTCCCTCAGCTCCTACCAGGGAGCTCCCTGAATCCCCTCAGGCCCATTCCGGCCATGGAGTGGATGCTTCTTCGCAGCTTTCCTCTTTTCCACAGGTGTGGATCTGGGACAGGGTCACCCGGCCTCCAGCTGGCAGGACTCCCTCTTCCTGTTTCTCGCCATCTTCTTCTTTTTCTGGCTGCTCAGTATTTGAGCTGTGTCTCCTTTCTCCCCACCGCCAGCCAGAGGAGAATCAGTATTGGAGGTCCCTGCTGACCCTTCCTTACTCCTGGACCCTCCCCCAAGTCCCTTCATTTCTGTTGGCTAAGGCCAACCCTGGCCACTCTCCAGGAGGGTGTGGGAGCGACATCTGTGCGTAGGGTGGGAGAAGCACGTGCTCTGAACGGCTCACTCAGTAGCATCATATCTCCCAGCTGTGGGAGAGGAGGATGGATTGAAGAAAATGTCTGTGTCTCCTCTCTCTTTTACTTTCCCCCAGATTTCTTGATTTGATGTTGAAAGGTGGGCAAGGCTCCCTCTGACTCTCCTGCTTTCCCCTTGTTGATTTAATTTTTCTCTCCCCAGTGTCTAATATGGGTTCTGACTTCAGTGCTTCCTTCCCCTCACTACCTCCTTTATTACAAACTCAATAAACAAGGAGAGATGTATTGATGGGAACTCTGCCCACCTTTGTCCTTCCCTCCCACTCAGAAACGTCCTCTCCACACCTTGAGCAGATGTTTGGAGTGGTGTGGGGAAGCGTGGGGTGACCCTCTCCTTCAGGGCTCTCGGGGTGAGGGCATTAAACACACACACACAAGAACAAAGCGGGCAGGATATGTCAGGTGTTTACTCATCGCTGTTTGTGGGAGGCTCTGGTTGTGGAAGAAAGCTTGGCGGGGTGGGTAGAGGTTATACATGGGGAGCTGGTTTGGGGCCAGGCGGTGTGGGGAAAGGAAAGGGAGCTGAGGGATAGGAGGGATGGGGGGCTGTGGGCCCTTTAAGGCCCCCCTGCACTGCTCTCGGCTGCCTCGGGCTCTTCCGACTGGTTCAGCTCTGCACGTTCTTCCTCCTCCTCCTCCCGGTTCTCTGGGGCCTTCCTGGGGAGGAGGATTGGGGAGAATTCTGCATATTGGTCCTAGCACTCCCCGCACCTCTCCTTGCTGTCAGGGTGCCCCAAGCCTGAGCTGTCTGGCTTTCTCCACTCACCTCTCCTCTCCCCTGCGTCGCCATCTTCGCCACATGATGATGCCAATGAGCAGGGTGGCTGTCCCCAGGCCTCCTAGGATCCCCAGGACCAGGCCTAGTGTTCCTAGCCCTGAGCCGCCCACAGATCCTGTGGGGAAATGGGGAGGACTGAGGGCACAGCCCCCACCACTCACTACTCCTTCCTTGTTGACCCTCCAGTCACGCTGGGGTCTGTCTGCTCCTCTGACGTTGTCCAACCCCTCACCTGCAGCTGGCCCCTCCTCGCCTGTTTCTGGAAGACAAAGTCAGAGCAAGTCAGAAAGGAAGGCTGCTGTTTGGGAAAGGGCTATTTAGTGGAAGCCCCAGTGGCATCTTCCCTTCAGAGTGGCTCTCTTGATAGGGTTTGGGTGGGGCAGCCAAGGCCTGGGTATGGGTCCACTGAGGGAGGGGCAGGATGGCTCCTGGGGACAGTGCCAGAATGGGGTATGGAACTGGAGCCTGCTCAGGGTCCCTGGGATCTGGGGAGAGGTTTCCTCACCAATGATGCTGATGCTGACAGCACGGCTTTCCTGGGGCCCGTGGCTGGGATGGGTGACCACACAGCTGTAGGTCCCCTGATCCTGAGGCCCTACCTCAGGCAGGCGCAGCACCGGGCTAGAGTGCAGGGGTAGGGGCGTGCCCTGCGGGGGGAGGGGGACAGGAGGCTATTACAACCCGTCCACACATCTCATACTCCCGTCTTCGTCTTCACATCCACACATACCTGTCTTCCTCCCCAGCTCCTTGCCTGCTTCTCTCTCCTTGAGCCCCTGTCCTAGTTGCCCGTTATGTATCTCTACCTCCCAGCCCCCTCTCCAGGTCACTCACATCCTTGATCCAGTGGATCTGAGGAGGAGGCTGGGCGGAGGCTTCACAGGTCAGGGTCACGGTCCCACCAGGAGCTACTGCTCCACCTTCCGGGTCCACCACCAACTGGACCTCCAGAGGCACAGGCTCTGGGGCTAGGAGGGGGCATGAGGCAGAGTCACCCTGTGTGTGGTCCTGGTGGCCACACTTTCAGGTTGTAGTGGGACGAGCTTGGGGCCCTCCGCACCTCTGTGCTCACCCCAGACATTGAGCTGGATGGGGGCTGTGTGCAGGGCTCGGCGCCGGGGAAGGCCAGGGCAGAAGCTACAGGAGAAGGTGAGGTGGGGCGTTCCTCCCCGGGCTGGGGTCATCGTCAGCTCCGACTGAAGTGTGAAAAGCCCTGTCTCAGGGTGCCTCCTGGTTTCTTCCTTCACAGACACTCCTATGATGGGGGAAGGAGAAGGCAAGATACCCAGGGTGTGTGGGGGAGAGGCATCAGAAAGAAAGCAACTTGGAGGGGAGGCCTTGGAACTTACCTTTGCTATCAGGTATTAGGGCTTTCCCATCCAAATGCCAGCTTAGAGTCCCTGCAGGGTAACTCCCCTCAGACACACATGTCCCTACCTGGGGAAAGAGTGACCTAATCATCTTTGAAAATAAGAGACTCCCATACACATGCACCCAGCTACACTTTACTCCCATTCGCATGACCACTTTCTACTTCCCTTTCCTTCCACTACCTTATTGGGGACACCAGCCATGAGTTCAGAGGCAGGATCAACAATTTTTGGCTTCCCAGGAATCTCTAAGGAGGGAAAATTTCAATCAGAGGCTGGAGCTTTGAAGATTCTCACACCCCCCAGTGTGGAAATGGGGCAGCGAAATTAGAGGCTCTCACACACCAGGACCAGAGTCAAGGACTGGGATTGAAGGTTTTTCCTTAAGATGAGAGGTAGGCCTTGGGGAAGGCCCTGGGACCCTTACGGTAGACTTGGACTTGGTAGTTGGACTTGGTCTCCTTTCCATTCCGGCTCATTGCCCGGCACCGGAAAGTCCCCTCATCCTGGATCCCGATGGCCGGCAGGAGGAGAGAGCCATTGGGGAGGACCCGAGCCACGCTATCCCAGGGGCCTCCCTGGGGAGACAGGACCTTCCAAGCTTCTGTCCGGCCTGTGTTCTGGGAACAGAGGAGAAGGGCCTTGAGGGAAAGGACATAGGAAACAGGAAGGTGGGGAGCGTGCAACAGGAGCCCTGCTTACCAGTTTCCATTCCAGTTGCTGAGGAGGTTTCTTGGGAGCACCCTTACAGTTCAGCACCAGTGGCTTCCCAATCCGGGCTGTGACGTTTTGACCGCCTACCACTGTCCCTGGGAGACAGCACCAAAGTGGAGGGGCCGAAATAGAGATGGGGGCTAGTAAATCCAACAGAGTGGGTGAGGGAGCTTCAAGAGCAGTGCCCAGGTTCCAGGAAAGTTCTGGGAAGATCTGGGGCGGGGGTGGAGTGCTTTCTGCGGGGAGGATAGTTGGCTCACCCCACAGACTGAGGACCAACACCCAGGCTCCGACCGCTGCGCCTGCTGCCATCCTGCTTCCTTCTCGGGCTCCTGGCTCTGTCTGCCCCTCACTGCTGTGGCCTCCGCCCTAGGTGGGGCTTGCGCCCTTTCCCCTGCCCCCATCTCCCCGTCCTGTCCTGGCACAGGGAATGCTAGGAATTCATGACTCTCGGACAAGAGTCCTTCAGACACTAGGAGAAACAATTATCACCCCACCCCTGGGCACTGCCACATCCATGGGGGTGGGGAGTGCACCTCTTAGCATGTCTCACCCCCTCAGGACCCCCAACGTGTTCCATCAGTCTTGAGGGTTGCTGGATGGACCACTGGAGCCCCATCTCAAGGAGGCAAGGTTGCCAGGCAACAGGGTTCAGGCCAGGCTGTTTGCCACAGAGAAAAGGCAAGGGTACAACCTGGGGCCTGGGTGGTGAGAGCAAGGCTGGGGGAATCCGGGAAAACCCATTTGGGGCTTTATGAGAAAAAAAATTTTTTTTCTGGGGTTTCTCATGTTTTTGAAAATAATTCTCAACTAAACCCAGGGAAAAAAGAAATTTCTTTATTTAAAACTTTTTTTCTGTGAAACTACAAGTTTACAAGTGAGGAGAGAACTGCCCCCGGCCCGTGCCTCCCATCCCGCCCCCCCCTCCCCATCACAATCCCAACCTGTCCCAATCCTGCCCAGATCTTTGACAGGAAGGGTGCCCCACTATGACAGTCTTGTGAAATCCTGAGGATGTTTGAGGGGTTCAGATGGTAGGGTTCAGGGCCAATCAAGGATGGGGCAGTGGTGATTTTACTTCCCCCCTATACCTGGCTTTTTGTAACCTACTTCCTCTCCCCACCCTCTTAATTTTGGACTGAGGAAAAAAAAATACACCTCATTTCTGGGGAAATTGAGGGAGATACATACACAAACACTCCAACCCATACTTAACATATTTTGCAATAACCCCCTCCCCATTCTTCCCCCTCCAATCTGCAAATAGTTAAAAAAAAGATTTAAAGATGTGTCATGGGAGGGTAGCAATTCCTCAAAATCACTGAGTCTAACCCTGCCCAAGAGTTATGGAAGAGGGAGAACAGGCCAGCCCAGCAAGCCCCCCCTACTGCCTCCACACCAAATGCAGCAGGAAGCTGCCTGCACAAGCAAAGAACACCTGGGGTTTTACAAGCAAAGGAGAATGCCTAAGTGATTTTAGGGGGGCAGGCTTGGTGCCCTGCTAAGTGTACTTCCTGATGGACAGCTCTAGGAACCAGGTGGGCCTCTTCACCAGTTCTATTTGTTCCCCTTTCTCTTATGACTCCTTTGGCTATCACCCCTAATATGGGAAAACGAGAAATTTTAAAAATCAACATATTTATAAAAGCATCTACTTCCCCAAACTAAAAATTAAGAACCAACAAAAAAACCCAAAACACTTTAAAAAATACAGATGGATCCTAGGGTTTTTCTCCCCCCACCAAAAGAAAAAAAAAAAGTTCAACCCCAAAGCCCAGTCAACAATTCCCTAAAGTAGCAGAAACTCCCTCCGAGGTAGATATCTGAGTCAGACACTCTCGTCCACCGAGCGATTCTATTGGTTTAAAATGAGCTGCGTATGAGGTAATAAAGCCGTCTGGATGGGCAAGGGGTGGGAGGCACAGGGGCGTGGCCCAAGTCCTCTGTCCAGAAGTTGTGTCCCCATTTTTGGCATCTCTGGTGGGGCAAGGCTGGCGTCTCCACAGATCCCAGAGTAGATAAGGGGCGGGGGAGGGAGAGTGGTGGAAACCAGAGAGAGGGAAACAATAGTTGTACATGTGAGAGAGAGAGAGAGAGAGTCAGAGCTGAAAAATAGGAGTATGGGTGTGTTTCTGTGTAACAAAGCGGGACAGAAAAGACTGAAATAAAGGAAAAAAAGGGGGAGACAGACCCCAATTTCCCCTTAGGGGACCCCATTCTCCCTGCCATGTAGTCAGCGCCCCCAGCACGGAGAGTCTGGTTGGGGGAGGGGACGACCCCATTTGCCCTTCTCTGTCTTGTGCTTCTCCTGTGTCTGGGGTTTGTTCTCTGGATGCCTGCATCCTCTTCAAGAGTCGCCTTGTGAGTCCCCACCCCTGTGGCCCTGAGGGACGAGATCAGTTGGAAGTGTCAGAATGAACGCTCCCTGGTCCCTCTGTCGGGGATGTCACTGAGGATGGGGTCACAGCCTCCTGCCAGCCGCCATTTGCCTGGAAAAAGATAGACACAGTTGGGGTAAGGGTCTGTAAAACCTAGTGTGGGGACAACAGTGCCGGGAAAAAGGCCGTCCTGTCCTGGTGAGAGGTGGAGGGGGCTTCAGGTATCCACTCACCCTCATTTCCCGAGGGCTGTACATCTGGCTTCCCCCGAGGTTATCCCCGTAGCCCCCTGGCCCCATTGAGTGTCGGAGTGATTCCACCTGTGGGCAGCCAAAGGCGGGTATGACAGTGACAAGCCTCAAAAGAAAAAAGTATCACCCTGAAGGGAGAGAAGTCAGATTTGGGAAAATCCTACTTAGGAGGAGATGGGCCACCTGACCTGGGAAGCAGAGTAGGAGTCTCCATTGAGCCCGGGCATCCCCAGAAACATGTCTCCGGATCCTGAGAGATTGAAAGAGCCGCCAGAGCCTTGGGGGAGCAGAGAGGGAATTAGGGGAACATGTAACAGAACCTGTGATGGCAGACAGAAGCACCACCGCTGTTTCCAAAAAGCCCTCTCAACTAGCTCTGTAGGGGTGTGCAACTATGCACAAATTATCCACAAAACACCACCACAACACTCACAAAGATTAGGCCGTTTCTGAGCCTCCCCTGGCCGGCCACTTGCTAAAGAAGCCCACGTAACTTTGTCCAGCGGCCTATTCCCGACATCCCCACCCCACCTCAGGTTGGTTTCTCTCACTCCCCAAAGCCCCCACTCTATGATCCTGCCTAGCTAGGAAGTGGGAACAAAAGCAGGACATGTGCAGAACAGCCAGCCAGGTGGAGGCAGGATCCACCTGCAGAGGAAGGGGGTGTCGGGGAGCTGGTGCGGCTGTGGCCCCCCTGGGTGACTGACACGGCGGTCTTGACAGCATAGATGTTTGCCTCCTCTTGGAACTTTCCAATATTTTTCTTATAGCGAATCCGCTTGTTGCCAAACCAGTTGGAGACCTGCAGGGTGTTGGGCAGAAAGGAGGGTCAGGTGGAACACCTTTCCCTCTGTGAGACCCTCAGTCAATAGGATCAGAGAGTTTTACTATTTTTTTTGTTGTTGTTGTTGTTTTAACCAGAAAACTCCTCAAGTCCCCCAATACCTGAGAGACAGTGATGCCACACTTCTTGGCGAGCTCCTCCTTGGCCTCCTCACTAGGATACGGGTTACTCAGGTGGGAGTAGAAATACTCATTTAGGACCTCCGTGGCCTGCTTGCTGAAGTTCCGGCGTTTTCGTCTGCAGAGGAGGGAGATGGGTGGTGAGGACATTGTTGTCCTAGCAGGGCCCCATGGTGCGTACCTCCAGAGAAAGCCCCTGGCACGGAGTACCGTATTATGGACTTAGAGAAGGGGAAGGAGCCCCGTGCTGGGGGCAGGCCCGGCCCCTGCGCCCCACCTGGCATCCAGGAAGCGGGAACGCAGGATCATGACGGCCTCACAGGTGCTCTGCTTGAGCTGCATCTGTATGGCGCTGAACTTGCGGTGGATGATGCTGACCATGCGCTCCATCTCCTTGGGCGCCACCGGCCGCGTGCGGCTCTGCTCTCTCAGCAGGTTCATGACGTGGGTGGTGAACTCGTTACATGCCTGCAGGAAGCCAGTGGGCTGTGAGGGGCCCCTTGACCTTAGGACTCCCCCCAGGGCTGTCCCTGCACCTGCTCCGCCGCCTCTCCTCACCTGCTCATACTTCTCCAGCTCCGAGTGGTAAATATGGCGAATCTGGGCAAGTTTGCTGCGATAGTCCGAGTGTTCGATGGAGTTGTCAGGGGACACGCCGCCTCCGGAAGCTGCAGCGGCGGCAGCAGCCGCCGCTGAGCCCCCCCCCTTTTCGGGCCCAGCCACACCCTCTGCCAGAAGCATGTTATCCAGGCGCATCAGCTGTGGGTCCACCGGCTCCTCCTCCTGGGAGCTTCGAATGCTGAGGCCTGGGGTGCAGGCAAGTGGACTTAGGGACGCTGGGACCCCACACCCACTTCTCAGCCCTTCCAGTACCTCCTGGAGACCCAGGTTTCTTTGGTTTCCTCTCCAGTCCTCCTTAGCAATGTCTCTGACCCCTAGCAATGTCTCTGACCCCCCCTTTCCTCAGGGCCCCAAGTTGTCAAACTCTAAGCCTGAGTCTATAGTAAACAGGGTTCCATCCCCAGAGTTGAGGAAACAGAGGGGGAACCACGTACCCCACGTACCGGTTTTCTCCTTGATTTCACACAGGACGCTAAAGAGAGCGGGCTTCATTCGGTGGCAGTTTAGGGCATGTTTCCTTGGGGGGAAAAGGAGAGAAAGTTGAGCTATAGAAACAGGCGTGCGGGGCGGGGCATGAGGTTGAAAGAGGGGAGCCTGGAAACAAGAAGGGAGGTATAAAGTGGGGTTGGGGTCAGAATGGAGTTGGGGGGTTCCTGGGAAGAGAGCAGCTACCAGAGCATGGAGATGTGGTTTTCCAGGAGACAGGGAAGGTGGAGGCCGCAGGCTGAAGGCCCCATGGGCAGGCTGGGGGGCTGTGGGAGGTGGTCTAGAAGGGTATAGAGGTGGGGGTTTGAGGGTGACTGCAGACAATGAGGGTGACTAGGTAGATTTCAGAGGAAGAGAGATGGAAGCTGGGGAGAAGAGTCAGAGTCTGAGGTGCCAGAGAGGAATTAGGGGTACCAAGCTAAAGTGGGGAGTTCAATTTAGTAGAGATGTGTGTGGAGGGTCCTGGGACTGAGAAGGGGCAATGGATGGGTGAGGACCCTTGAAGGAGGGGCCATGGTGGAGAAAAGTGATAGGAGCTCTGGGGAGGGGTGTGGAGGTCCCCAGGTCTGGAGAGGAGGGGGCTGGGCTGGGTGGAGAGTGAGGGGAGAAGACAGCATACCAGTTTCTTAGTCAGGGAGCCTGAAGGGGGCTCTGGAGATGGAAGGATGTGGGGAGTGTGGGGGTCAGTGAGAGGTTAGGAGAGGGGGTGAGACCACCTGGGGCTCCCCTCTTTAAGGTTTCAGGACCTGGGGTGGAGGTTTGAGAGGGATCACTTATCTGGGATCTCTCAGGAGTAGGGAGAGAAGAGAGCTTCCTGTGGTTGGGGGGGGGGGGGGGGCTCAGCGCTTGTGAATGGGGCTTCTGCTGGGTCTGTGTGGGGTCCCGGGGTGGGGGCACTCACTTGGCCTGGGCCTCGTCCAGGCTCTGGTCGGTGATGGTCATTATCTGCTGCAGAATGTCCCCGATGTCTTGCTTCCCTCGGCCTCCCGGGACCCCCCCGCTACCCCCACCAGGGTCTCCGCCACCGGGAGGCTCGCCAGGGCCCCCAGGCTCTCCACCCACCAATCCCAGGCCCCCCCGGCCCCCGCCTGGAGGAGGCGGCCCCAGCAGCCGCTCGTCCATAGTTGGGGGGGGGCCCTGAGGCCCCCTCCCTGCTCCGCCCCTCCCCCGCCTGGTTACTTCCCCCCCCAAACTCGCTGGGGCCGCTGCTCCCTCCGCCCCAACCCCCGCCCGTCAACCCCCTTCCTGACTCCCCCGGGGTTTCACCCCGGCCCTTAAGGGAGACCTGGGGTACCGGCTGGACCCCCCACAGGAGACCCCGGCCCCCGGCGGCGGAGAAAATGGAGCCGGAGAGAGAGAGGAGGCCCAAGCGGGGGTGTGTGAGAGAGAGAGGGAGGAGGGAGGAGGGAGAAGGGGGGAGCGACGAAGGGAGGCTGGGGGAGGGGAGCCAGAGAGGAAGAGGAGGGGAGAAGAGAGGAGGAACGGGGAGGAGCTAGGGGCGGGGAAAGCCACAGAAACAGAGGAACTGAGACCGAGTGGAGGCGGGGAGAGAGAAGAGGGCAGACAGAGGCGGGGAGGAGGCTAGCCCAGCGGGGAAAATATGGGAAGGCCCCGGGGCTGGACCTCTGCGGCGTTGGAGGGGGGCGTGTTGGGAGTGGGGGATAGGTGGTGGGGGGCGGGGGGGCCTGCCCCCAGGATTCTGAGTTTGGGATCTAGGTGATGTGGACTCTGGCCGCTGGAATGCCTGGGTTCACAGACAGCGCAGTTCATATTTCTTGTCCTAATGACTCCCTTCCCTGTTCTACTTAATTAAAACCACGAGAGGGGGTGGGGGTGGGGGGGCTAATTAGGGAGGTCTCCAGCCGCTGCTTAATGAGCCAGTAATTAACCAGCCAGGGAGGGGAGCTGGCCTCAGGCCAGACTGGGGAGAGAGGCAGCCTCTGGCCTCACTCTGTCCTACCCTCGGTCCCGCAGCCCGAGACACCAGTCTTCAGTCCAGAGGGGAATTACATTTATTCATACAACCAAAACATCAGACAGGGTTAAGTGTCCATTCACAGCCTGTAGGCCCCTTAGTCCTGGGGCTAGGGTTCGCTGGGGGTGAGGGTAGGAGAAGAGTCTTTATCTCTTTGCTGTGCCCATCCTCCTTTTCTTCAGACTGGGAAGAAGGTGGAACTGTCTCTCAGGTCATAACCTTAGGGAATTTGTCTTTTCTTGGGGATGGAGGACTGATCCCTCAGATACTGCCTAGTGGCTTGATTACTAGGGGTGTGCCTACATCTCAGGACCAAGACGCCAAGCCACTCCCTGAGATCAGAGTAGGTGTCCCTAGGTAGCTGGGATCCTCGCATTGCCTCAAGCTCCCCTGTACTTGGGGAGGGGCTGAAATGACCACCATACCTGCACTATTCCCAGGATCTGAGGACTTTCACCCTCTCCAGTTCCCAGGGAAGGTGGATGAGGGCGATGAATACTGAGATTTCTGCTGGGTCTTCCAGTCTCTGGTGCCCCTGCCAAGCAGGGTTGAGGGCATGCAGTGGGCTGCCCAGCTCTGAGCCTCAGGAGTTACGGAGGGGTTGGTGGGGGGCTCAGGTCTCAGCAGGTGTGTGTGGGGGGCCGGGACCTTTGTTCCTCCATTCGACCCCCACCCTGAACTCTCAGCAGCAACTCCAGGAGCTCCTGCCCCCCTGGGGGTAGGGGAGGCTCTGACCTCTGGGCTTCCATCCGCTGGCACTGGAGGAATGGAGGGAGAGGAGGGTGTTGGTGAGGAGCAGGCCTTGAAACGAGCCAGGGCTGGTGTGAGGGGCATACAGGACACCTGTGATGGGGATGAGGGGACTAGGGCTTTGGGAGGGGACAGAGGCCTGGGGAGGAGGGGTAGGGCCCCAAAGAGAACAGGGCCAAGAGACCAGGAAGGCTGGACCTTGCCTCCTGGGGACGGGGTGCTCTTACCTGGTGACTGAGGATGGTGCTGTAGAGCTGTTCTCTGTCCTCAACAGGCCGAGGTGGGGCTCTGGCTAGGCTTGGGGGATTTTGGGGAGCATGGAAGGTGGCTCTCTGCTCCTCTAGGCGGCGGGACTGGGCCTCAGCCACCAGGTCCAGAAGGAGCTCAGTCTGCAGGGAGAGCAGGGAGGCCGAGCGCAGCCCCAGGGCTGGGAAAGGAAGGATAAGGGTCAGAGAAGTTGGCTGGGGGTGGGGTGGGGGGGAGAGGAGATGCCGGACAGCAGGTTAGGGACCCGTCGTCAGACATAAGGGTGTGCAATGGGGAGTCCAGAAGAGGTGAGGAGAGAGCCCATGATAGAGTGGACCTTGGTAATGGGCTCAGGAAGGCTGTGGGCACCAGGGTCAGGGAGTTCCCTGGGTGGGTGGGGGTACCTGTGTGGCGGGTCCCTGGAGGAGGGGATGGAGGAGCAGATCGCCAAGGCCGACTAGTGGTGTTCACAGGAGGCCAGCCATGCTCATCCTGATGGGGGGCCTGATGTGGAGACATCCATTCCAGTCAAGCAGGGACAGGGTGGGCAGGGGGCTAGGCCAGCGGCCCATTCCCTCTCTGTGCCTGCCTCAGTGTGCCCAAACCCTTTCAAGTCCCGAGTCCGCCGTTGCTAGATCTCTGCCTCAGGTCCTCTCACCTCCCTTTCTCCCTGTGTCAGCCTCCTCCACCCGGGTGCCCAGCTCACCTGCTCACCATCCTCTTCTTCCTGGGGTCTCTCAGCCTCCATCCCCTGGAGGGGAGAAACCGATGGGGGAGGGGTAGCTGGGATTTGGAGGAGGGCCGGAACCCTGAGTTCCTGAGGGGAGTGGAGGCTAGAAGGGGTGGGGGTGAGCCGGGGGCTGGATGTCTGGGTACTAAGCAGGAAGCTGGGTTCCTGGTCAGCCCCCCCACGGGCCCCGCCCATCCCTGTCAACTTCCTCCAGTTCTCTTTTCCCACCCAAACTACTTGCTGGACCTCTCTCCCCACAGGGGAATAGAAACTGGGAAAAACTCCTCCAGCAGTAGTGGAGGGGTTTCAAGGTGGGGAAGACTCTTGGCCCTCTCATCTCCAGAGCCTGAGTAGACCCCCAACCCCTGGCTCTGTTCCCTCCATCCCCTCCTCCGCTTCAGCTCTGTCAACACAGGAACTAGCTACACAGGAAGTGGTTTCACTCCTCAGAACCCCCCCACCCCCAGGTCTCTTCTCTCCCTAAGATGGACCCTGACATAGGATTCAGCCCTCCCCTGCTTCCCAGCTTCCCTCAGGCTTATTGGGATTGGGGGTGGGCATGGATCCAGTGGGAAGCAGAAGACTCGGGATCCAGGGATGTCAGGCCCTCAAACATGCATATGTATCCGCCTAGCACTGGGTTCAACACACAGTATTCAATATACATGTATGTTGAATAGTTATCCCAGCTCACTAGGTGCTTAGTCTATGCGGGGGAGGGGGACAGACACTCGAGATATGCACCAAATGGGGAAAACTTTCCTTTCTTAACGAGTGAATGAGGGATATAGAAATGGAAAAGGGAGAGGGCCACCTTCCTGGCTTGGTCTTTGATATGAGCTGATCAGGCTGACTGGCACCGAGATGGAAGCAGGACAGACACATTTGGGGCCTCTAATTGGTAACCTGTCATAGTATCGGAGTTACTGCTGAACAATTTTGAAGACAAAATGTGATAGAGATCTGGTTCTACCACTTAATGCCTTGCAACCTGGGTCAAATAAAATCTGTGCCTCAGTTTCTGAAAGAGTATAATTGAGTTTTAATAACCTAATAGTTTATGTGAGGATTAAATGTGATAAAGCATTTGGCACATAGTGAATGCTCAATAACTGGAAGTTATTACAAGGCACATCTCAGAGATATTGCGGGTTTGGTTCCAGACCACCAAAATAAAGCAAGTATCACAATAAAGTGAGTCACACAAATGTTTTGGTTTCCCAGTGCATGTAAGTAATGTTTACAACTATACTATAGTCAAAATATTAAGTGTGCATTAGCATTGCCTTAAAAATACATAACCTTAATTAAAAAATACTTGATTGCTAAGAAATGCTAACCATCTTCTGAGCCTTCAGTGAATCCTTTCTGTTGGGAGGGTCTTGCCTTGATGTTGATGGAAACCTATCTGTGAAGTACAACAAAGCGCAATAAAACAAGGTGTCCTTGTATTAGCTTTCAAGATGCCTCCTGCCTCCATGTCTCAGGCCCATTACCAGGTGTAGCCACGTTGCTGAAAGGTGGATAGTTTGAGATGTGCTCTCCACCTTCCTCTACTTCAGCCCTTGGGAATCTCCCAAGTGGCTATAACTAAATGCCCTTGGAAGAGTATGCATGATCTATGATCTAGTGTGTGGTTTCTCCCTGAGCTACTAGACTCTTGCTTTCAGATGATACCCTAAATTATAACATAGGATCCCTAAATATACTTAAACTATACTCAAAGCCTCCATCTAAATGCTGAATTTGGGGCACAAAACTCTGAAAACACTAACGCAGTGTTTTGGGTTTTTTTTCCCATTGCACTCCTCAACCCCTTCAAAAGAAGGTAAGTAACACTTTAAATCAGCTTTATTTGGCGACAGAGTTGGGGTTATTTGAGCTAGCAGTGGCTGGAAGAGTGGTGCTTCATCCCTACAGTGGTTTAGGGGTGGTCAGAATCAAGGAGTCATCAGCTGGAGTGGCCCTTGGCACTCCCCCACCCCAGCACCTACAATGCCTGGCACATAGTAGGTACTCAAATATTTGTCAGCTCTTTGTGGGTAGTGGGGATTATGTGATGAGTGATATACAGGCTCCCTTTGGGAACCATGTACTGTACAGAAAAGAACATCTTACATCCTATCTGTAGTTCTTGGTTCCAGTTCAGGGTACTTAGCACACTCCTGTAGCCCTTCACCCTTTTTTCTGGGTGAAGAGCTGGGCCTGCATCATCCCAACACTCTAAATCCTTTCCAGGGCTGCAGATTCTCCACGTAACAGACGATGATGGTTGCGAATAGGCATTCACTTATTTTGGGGAAGGAAGCTATACTCCCGATCCCCTGCTTTTGGAGCTCGAGAACTTTAAAATCTAAAGGATTTCCAGACTGCCTGTCAGTTAAAGGCACTCAATTTTAGAATCCCTCCCTGCTATTAGCCTTCTATTTTTGACCCTCGCCTCCTGCATTTAAGGGTATCCCTTGGTGGGTTGGGGGACTCCAGGCAACCTGAGGGGATCCCTGCTCTGGGGACGGAGTAAGGCAAGGAGGCGGGACTGGAGTGTTGGAGGCAGGACCGCACACTCCCAGGGCCACCCAATCGCAGGGCCAGTCATCAGCTGAGGCCACACCCCCGCTCCCGACCGCGACCCCAGATCTTCCTCGCAACATTGCAGGGTTGGGCCGAGGCCCGCGCATGCCTGCAGAAAACCTCCGGCCACGGCGGGGCGGGCCTCCTTCTGCTCCTCTTTTCGATGGGTTCCGGCACTGATAGGCCCCGCCCCCATGAGCGGCCAAGTCAATGGACAAAGTCCGGGTTTGCAGACCTGCTCCGCCCCCAGGCGGGCCTGCTCCAGCTGACAGCGTCCGGCAGCGTGGCAGAGCCCCGCCCCCGCGCGGGGGCACGCTTCCCGACGCGGTCCGCGCACGCGCAAAAGCGCCCGCCCCGCGGCTGGGCGTGGCCTTATGACGCGTCTCCGGTGGCCCCGCCTCTTCCAGCAGCGTCATCAGATCCCAGTGGTTACGCTGGCGGGCGATGTCGCAGGGCGCTAGTCCGGCTTGGTCTCGCAGACCTCGGGCCGCCCCCAGGCCCAGCAATAGCTGGGCTACCTCCACCGCCCCTTCTCGAGCTGCCAGGAACAGCGGCGTCTGCTCCTGCACGGGATAAAACCGCCAGGGGCGAGGTCAGGGAAGGCCACGCCCATAGGGCTGGCCCTTCGCGACTCCACCTAATTGACTCGGCCCCTCCCACTTCAGGTTTTGGGGGTCTCCTACGCTTTCTACCTCTCCTGCATTGTTTCTTTTTATTAGTGGGGAGCCCTCTACCCAGTCTAACCCTGCCGTCTTGGGCGTCTTTATCGGCTCCGGCCTGGAGAAGGGAGTGAGCAGCCCGGGCGTTGTTCACGGCGGCGGCCCAGTGCAGCGCGGTTTTCCCTGGAGAATGACGTAGGACGGTTACCCTGAGGCTGGGGGCCAGACGCCTGGGTTCCCGTTTCCCACGGCTCCTGGGCTTGGGGGAAGGGCATCTCTGGCCCGCCGGCTCCCTCAAAGGCGGAAGCGTTGCCTGGGTGACCGCCGACCGGCAGGAAGCGTTACCCTTGGTGACGTCACCGGTGCTCAGGAGGGACAATGGGGCATTGTCCTGGGGTCTGTGGGACCGGGAGACCCCTCCCACTTCTGAGACACTTTTCTGTCATCCCAGTTTCCAGTGGGCTAGGGCAGAGTGTGTTGTTGAGGATGATGGGGGAAGATACTTGCTCCATACTGCTCCTGCACCGCAAATTTACCACTCCGAGAGCAGGGTGGGAGGGGTGGGAGGGAATCTTCCAGCCTCCAGTCGCTCCTCTGCTGCTCCCTTCTTTTGCATTTTATCTCACACCTTATCTGCTCGGCTTCCCTGTAGCACATTAACCTCCCCAGATGCGTACCCCATTTATCTCTGGCCCCCACATCAGCTTGGGCTGCAATCAGTTCTTCAACCAGGTCCTCCACCGCCAGCCTTGCGGCTAGCATCAGGGCTGTGGTCCCATCCTCTGTCCGTGCATCCACTGCAGTCTGTCTGCCGCGGAGTAGGAGCTGGGGGGCCAGAGAGGGCCAGTGACCCCTGGTAAGTCCTGGACTGCTAGCTCAGGCTCCTCACACTGTTAACCACCTCCCAACTCATTCAGCCATCTGTTCTCGTTTCCCTTTCAGGCCCCCATCTCACATCACTTTCCTGATTGCCAAACCCTGGAGGATGCTTTTGCTCAGCTTTACTTGCAAGTTTGCTCCCTGTTCTCTTCAGTGACCCCAGTGTGCACTGACCTGGCAGACCTCCCGAGCATCAGCAGCCACAGCGGTGTGAAGCGGGGTGCGCCCTGCTCGGTCTGGCTGGTTGGGGTTGGCTCCAGCCTCAAGGAGGCGGCGGGCAGCAGTTAGCCTGGAGAATCGGGCAGCCAGGTGCAGGGGGGTTTCCCCAGTGCCCACTGTGTGAGCCTGGGGACAAGCCCCTCCACCTAACAGAGGTTCCCAGGGCTCAGGGCTTCCCAGCCATGTTTCCTGGAAGGTCCTGGACTCCACTCCTCCACAGAAGACTGCTGACATCAGGGGTGTCACCCCATCTGTGGGTGGGAGAGGAGGAATGGGAGACAAGTCAATCAAAAGGACCTAACTGAGGTAGGGTGGGGGAGAACATGGAGGCTCAGGAAGAATCACAGCTTGAGGTGTCAGGAGGCCTAGTTCTTGATTTTGTGTGGCTTTCTTTAGTCAAGTGACTGTTTTACTTTTCTCTGGGCTTCAGTTTCCTCATCTGTACAAGAAGCTAGCAGGCCTTAATTCTCTAACATTCTAGGGCAGTGGTTCTCAAACTTGAGTCTGGATCAGGCTCCCCCGGAGAGCTTGTTAAAACAGAGTCCCTAATAGCTTGAAGTTTTGCATCAATGGAGCCTGAGAATTTGTATTTCTAATATTTTCCCTGGTGATGCTGAATTTTTCTGTGCAGGGACCACACTTTGAGAATCATTGTTCTAAGGCATTAACTCTAATGGTTGATTCTCCAGGTCTGATATCAAAAGATTTTCTGATTCTAAACGGGTCAGAGGGAGTTTTCCTCTTCTTGGTCTGTGTTGGCTCACATACCCGGTCCACGGGTGTCCACGTCAGGGACATCTATCTCAGATTCCTGGGGAGGAGTCAGCATGGCTGCCTGGGGGAGCTCCTGACAGTTACCACTCAGAGGCCAGAGCTGGCACTTGGAGCGTGAGGCCCTTTCTTCAGTCTTGGGAGCAGAAAAACGATCAGTGAAGGAGAGAGGCCTTGTCCCCTCCACCCCTCCATCACCTCAGGACCACTCCCACCCCAGTACTTTACCTGGTCTGCCTCTTCTCCTTCCTCTGGGCCTAAGCACATCATAACTCCATCCTCATCAACTTCTGCCCCTGGTTTCAGTGCCCTGGAAGAGGGTGGGTGGGTCCTCGAGGTTTCCAGCAGCCTTACTAACCTTTTCCCCTTCCCCTGCCTTCAACTTGTGCAATCGCATCTTGTTGCTTCTGATCACAAATATCTCCATAGGGAAGAGCCCCCTCCCTGAGCCCTGGTTCCTCCCCAGGCTCACTTGAGGGCGATGCTGTCCTCGCCCAGTGGGGGCCGGCGTCTGCGAGGAGCTGACTGAGTCCCAGGCCTTCGGATGAACCCAGGGGGCAGCCAGAGAGCCCCGTGCTCTCGGCGGCGCCGTATGAGCTGCAGGACGAGAAGAGCCCCGAGGGCCAGGAGAAGCACCCCGGCCACCGGTGAACACAGCACAGGCCAGGGAAGCTGGTTGGCAGGGGGCGCTGTTGGAGAGGTGGGGTAAAAAAAGAAGCCGTTCCAGGTGAGGCTGGGTACTACTGTGAGATCTCTAGGCAAGTGCAATACCCTGTTAGCCTCAGCATCCTCATCTGTAAAATGGGAATAATAAGAGCACCTGCCTCAGTGGGGCTGTTGGGAGGATTAAAGGAGTTAATACTGTAAAGCACTTAGAGCACGCCCTGTACATAGTGAGCACGATAGTAGAGTTCTTACTCTTTCATGTACTCTTTACGGTTTGAGTTGGATACTCTCCGTCTAGGAGAGAGGATGGACCAGAACCCAAGGTTTGTTTGTGGGAGGTCAGTGATAGAGGGAAGGATAAAGTACTTTGGAAATAAAGAGATTGTAGAGCAAATGGGCAACAAGGAGATCCAGTTAGAGAAAGAGAGGTGAACACGGGTAAGTTCCCACAAAGAGCACTTGGGTCACAGCAGCCCTGTTTCGTTTGCTGTCCATTGCTGGTTGCTGGCATGAAAGCCGGCATGGGAGCAACGCCAGGGGAAATGACGGGGTCACCTACCAGTGCCTGCACGAGGGTGGGCAGCCAGCAGGGGTCCCGGCAGTAGGGGCTCCAGGGCCTCCACTGCAGCCATGGCAGCAAGGAAGCGAAGCAGGAGCGCAGGGTCCCAGGGACAGCGGGATGCAGGTTGGTCAGGGCCGCAGTGGGACAGATCGACACCCATCACCACCACAAACCTGAGGGGGAGGCACCTCAGAGATTCCTGTGTTGGTCCCTGGCCCCCTTCCCTCTGCCTGTTAAAAAAAAGTGTCTGGCCTGCCCCTCCAGCCAGCCGCCTTACCCTGTGCTGAGGGAGTCCGTCTCCTTGCCCACAGGCTGTGTTTTAGGGGCTGCTCTCCCCTGAGAGAGGTCCGGGGTTTCTCCTAGCTCCTCTTCGGCCTGGGCCCCAGGATAGGGGTACACCATGTCCC